ATTTTTTTTTTACTGTATTTTTAATATTTGGTGTAAACCACTAAATTTATTTCACTTCCCACAATTAATTTGGTGAAAGTCTTCCAACATAACAACACAACTTTTAAAGCTCATTCCACTAGCCCCTTTCTGTTACTTCCATTATATAACTGATCTATGTACCACCTAAGGTTAAATAAACAGTAATCAGAAAGAATGCTCACAGATGCTGGTCACTCCCTACAGAAAGTTAAAGTAACAAGTTCTCCACAGACTGAAAAAACACCGTAACAAAGTGATGATTAAAAATGCAAAGTATAGGGGCGCCTGAGTGGCTTAGTAGTTAAGCATCTGCCTTCAGCTCAGGTCATGATCCTGGGGTTCCGTGGTCCTGGGATCAAGCCCCAGGCTCCCTGCTCAGCCAGAAGCTTGCTTCTCCCTCTCCCACTCCCCATGCTTGTACTCCCTCTCTCGCTGTCTCTGTTTCTGAAGTAAATAAACAAGTATCTTTAAAAAAAAAAAAAAAAAAGTATACAAGTTCAAAGATGATATTAAAAGGTAAGGGATGAAAAATAAGCTTGCAGAACTTAAATGAAGATTTGAAAAGCTGAAGAAATTAAAGCCTTATTAGATGACAGTATAAGATAAACATAAAGCATAGAGAAAATAGGCTGGAGGAAATAAAAATGGAAAATAATAAACGTAAAAGCTACAAAGGTAATAAAACACATGAAATCCTATGTATGCATAATTCACATTCCTGATGAAAAGAATTGAGTAAATGAGCTGTCCAGATACAAGAAAATTTTTCTAAAATAATAAAAGAATAATCTAGCAAATATCCTGATGAATTTAAGATATAAAGAATTACAGGGACATATAAGCAGAAAAATCAAGTCCTAAATAATGAAGGGGGTAGAAATCAAGTTGGTCTCCTCTTACAGCAAACTTCCTAAGTCAGTGAAGCAAAAAGGCTCTAGAGGTCTGCGGAAAATAGTGACAAGAATTTTATACCTAGCTAAAGCGGTTTTCTCTAAAATGTAAAGAGAATGGGAATACTAAAAAAAACTGCCTGATAATGAAATTCATCCAATAAGAATCAAATGAAGGACTTTGAAAAAAGAAGCCATAAAAGGAGTGGTGTCAAAAATTCTAAAGACCAAATAAAAATAATGGGAAATAATTTCAGGGCTCAACTTATATGTGAACAATATCTATGTAAAAAGTAATATAAGCAAGAAGTAGAGGAACTATTAAGTTTGCTGATTACATTTTTCATAATAGGAGTTGTTGCTAATTAAAACATACATGAGAATTGGGAAATAACTCTAGCCTCTTTAGTGTTTTCTGTAATTGTCCTTAATTTTAAGAGGAATCTTTTAGAACTACCATAGAAAAAACTTCAGAAGTTGAGCATTTCTTTCACTTTTTGTTAAGTCCAAGTAAAATTAATTTGCTATATTTAGTAAACATAGTATATGAGCCCACTTTTGTATGTATGTATGTCTAGGTTTAAGAAAGATAGTTGGAGATGGAGGGAGGCACCTGGCTGGCTCAGTTGGAAGAGTGTGTGGCTCTTGATCTCAGTCAGGAATTCGAATCCCTGGATTCGGTTACTTGGATGTAAAGGTTACTTAAAGAGAGGTGGAATGAATGAAGTTCATCAGCTCTTAATAGTATCTATTTTTGATGGATGGACTTTTGTGCGATTTTTTTTTTAAAGATTTTATTTATTTATTTGACAGACAGAGATCACAAGTAGGCAGAGAGGCAGGCAGAGAGAGAGAGGGAAGCAGGCTCCCCGCTGAGCAGACAGCCCGATGTGGGGCTTGATCCCAGGACCGTGGGATCATGACCTGAGCTGAAGGCAGAGGCTTTAACCCACTGAGCCACCCAGGCGCCCTCTTTTGTGTGATTTTTATACTTTGTTCTTTTACATAATTCTCCTTTTTAAAAAATAAACACATTTAAATTATCCTTTACCAGGGAAAAAAATGAATTGTTTGTGGACTTCAAAGCTACTTTATAAACTTACCAATACATTTTATATATTGTTTGTTGGGACCGCAAAATGGTAACCATTTTCCTGGAGGGCAATTTAGCAATATATAGCAAGAACCTTAGAACTTTTATCCTTTTTACCTAATAATCCCACATATGAATATAAATATATAAATTCACCATACTAGAATAATATAGTTAAAAATAGCTTTATCCCATCATTTTACATATTTATATAGGAGGAAAAAAAGCAGAAATGTCCCACCTGTAGGGGACTAAACAAATAAATGATACATCATTAATATTCATACTTTTGAATAATCTTCAATGACAACGAAAATATTAATCTATGTCATTAAACATTATACAAAACAATATGATCTTAAGTGTAGTGTGTGTACGTGTACTCTACGTAAAGTTGATAATTTGGGCACTTCAATTGCTCTACAATGAATTTGATTCAAAAACTTAAGTTTACAACTTCTATGAGAAGTTTGCAAACTTCTAAACTACTATTGTATAAACTATGAACTAAGAGTATTCTATTTTTCCACTTGGTACAGTTTTGCTATTTACTGGGCACTAGTAATTGCTGAAAGAGGGACAAATGAGATGTTGAAAGTAGCTACATAGAACACTGTCATATAATTAAAACCTAGGTCACTGGGCTTTATTGCCCCAAAAGTACCTTTTGCCAGGTGGTCTGCCTTCCTATAGAAAATAAGGCTGAGCTGGAGGCAGTATATTGTTGGGAGATTTTTTTCCCAATAAAAATTTCAAGTATATACAAAAGAACAGTAAAATAAACATCTTGTACACCTCATCATCTGTTCTCCAAGACTTGAAAAAAGATTAAATACATGAATACTTAACTTCAAAAAAAATCCTGAGTGCTCCAAGTCATACAGGCATTCCTTGTTCTACTGCACTTCACTTTATTGCACCATCACAGATCATGAATTTTGGTTTTGTTGTTGTTGTTGTTTTTTCTAAATAAACTGAAGGTTTATGGCTACCCTGCGTCGAGCAAGTATATAGGTACATTTTGTCTAATAGCATTGGACAACTTTGTGTCTCTATTACATTTTGGTAATTTTCACAGTATTTTAAACTTTTTTATTATTATATTTGTCATGGATCTGAGCCATGATTTGGGGTGTCAAAAATTATGCCCATGTAAGACAGCAAACTAAATAAATGTGTGTGTTCTGACTGCTCTACTGACAAGCCATTCCCCTGTTTCCCTCCTCTTGGACTTCCCTATTCCCTGAGACAAAATACTGAAATTAGGCTAATTTATAACCCTACAATGGCCCCATGGGTTCAAGTGAAAGCAAAGTCAATCCATATGGCAAACTTCATTGTCTTATTTTAAGACATGGCCAGAGCCACTCCAACCTTCAGCAACCACTACCCTGATCAGTCAGCACTCAACAACAAGATCCTCCACCACCAAAAAGATTACAACTCACTAAAGCTCAGCTGATGGCTAGCATTTTTTAGCAATAAAAGTATGTTTTAATTAAGATGTATATTTTTGGGGCACCTGGGTGGCTCAGTGGGTTAAGCCACTGCCTTCAGCTCGGGTCATGATCTCAGGGTCCTGGGATCGAGCCCCACATTGGGCTCTCTGCTCAGCAGGGAGCCTGCTTCCCCCTCTCTCTCTGCCTGCCTCTCTGCCTACTTGTGATCTCTCTCTCTCTCTCTCTGTCAAATAAATAAATAAAATCTTAAAAAAAGATGTATATTTTCAACATAATGCTATTGCATACTTTATCAATTACAGTATAGCGTAAACATAACTTTTATATGTACTAGGAAAATAAAAAAAGGCATCTGTTCACTTTATTGTGATACTCACTTTATTGCAGTGACCTGGGACCTAACCTGCCAAGATTTCTGAGGTATGCCTGTATTTTAACATAAAAATATACACTGGGGCAGCTATCTCATTAACAAAACAAATGAGTGAACTCCATCATTTAGTAGGATTCTGAAAGATACTGAAATTTTAATATGAAAAACTAACAGTAAATACACCTAATCTTAACATTTAATAAATACCTTTTCAGGACTGCAAATATGGCAGGAAAGCCCTCAACCTCCTGCAATAGATTTCAAGCATCTTCCAAGCTGGAAAATATGGCAAAAGCACAGGTAGTCTCCTATTTAAGTAATGCATATCTGAGAAAGCAGAACAAAGATAATACACTGTCCTTAAAATACATTTGTATTTACTTATTCTGCAAATTTCCAAATCTATACACCATCATTTAGTCCAAAATCCCAGACAAACATGTAACTGGGGGTTTTAGACAAAATGACCTCAACCTCAATGTACCAAAATACCACCAGAACACAAGTTTTAATTTCAATTATAATCAGTGATTATTGGTAAAAACCATCCTGGCAAGTGTGTATTCCAGGTAGTAACAGAATTCAAAATGGATAGCCTGGCACATACTAGTACCCCAGTAAGAAATATCTTCCCTCCACTCCAACTGCCAGTATCAGTCTCAGAGTTTAAAAACTCTCCTTCAAAAGATCTGTTTCAATTCCAACATATAAGTGTGCTACCTTGAATTTCACTTCATTGTTTTGCACCTCAGTTTTCTCAATTATAGAATGGAGATAGCATATGTTTCTGTCAACTTCATTGGGTGCTGTGAAGATCCAGTAAAATAAAGGACAAATAAAAGATCCTTAGATCTCTAAAACTAAGTCTGTAATTTAGAATACTCTATTCATGGAGTGTAAAACAAATGTCCTAATTATTACATTGTATTTCCATATCTAACAACCATATGAATTAGCCAAGTTTGACTCTTGTCAAAAAGATTTATTAACTTAAAATAGAATTACTTCAAATACAGACAAAAGCAACTTTCTGTTCAAGTTTGAATATTTTCAATAGACAAGAATGTAAAAGAAAAAAATTCTGAATCTTCACGTTGTAGTTTTATTTATTTTTTTTTTTTTTTACCTTTTAAAAAGTTTTTTGGCACTACAAGGTTCTGTAAAGGATAGAAGTGACAAATTTAAAACACATGAAAGTTTTTCCTAATTCTTAAGAACAATATATATAAAGTCTGAAGCAACCAAAGTATGAATACAGCTAATAGAAAATAAAGAATGTAATTTTTAAATTCTCTCTTTATACAATTCATCAAGATTAAACAAAACATAAAATTCCCTTAAAAATAGGGTAATAAAATAGATGAAATTTGTATCACTCAATTTGGTGATACTAGTAAAAACTATAGTTCATATTTATATACAAATAATACAGTCTTTAAAAACAGTCTTAGAATTTAAATAAGCTATCTAAACGTGTTAAAATTTTAAATCAGGACCTGATTTGTTTTGCTTTCCATTAAATGTCACTTTTTCTGCTGAATGTAACTGACATTGAGGTACGGATACCCTTGAGACAGCAGGATTGGCTGGTTGCTGTGCATCGGTAGACCAGCTGAAAGAAAATGGACTCGCATTACTCCGACACGTTTCCTCTTGGTGGGTGGGGACAACGCTCTCTACACCGACGGGTGGCACATCTGTCTGTTGGACACAACACAGACAGGAAACTGAAAGGCTTGTGCCTATTTATCTGACAACGCTTAGAATTTAACTTGTAACTAGTTCTCTTTTTTCTTCTACTTACACAGTAAAGAGGAGATAAAGCATGTCAAAAACATTTAGCAGGGGAAGGAGGAGGACAGAAGGGATGTGGCTATGTGAATGAGAAGAGAAATGAGGGGAGAAAACAAAGGGAACAAATGCACCAGGGAAGAACTTCAGACATCCCACACACAATCCCACTGAACCCTAAAAGGGTTTATAGGACCAAAAGTAACTTTCCTCAATCCTAGTTCTTTACTCGGAAGAATAAGCCCACCATACTCAATGTTCTGCCACTCTATAGTACAGGGATTCCCCAGAGGTACATGGGATAGTTTAGGAAGGCTTAAATGGAATCAAGCCTGAAACCCATACCAGGGGCTTCCCCTTAAAGTTATCATTTCATTCAGTCAACATTTCCTGACTGCCTTTCTTTAATTTCTTGAACTCCTAGTTTAAGTGTAACTCTGACTCTAGTTTTTTAATTCCTAGATTAACTAAGAGCTGAGGGCCAGACTCACACATTCCGTATTAGAACTGAAATAGCTTTGAGGCAAGCAGGCTAGAGAAAATGCTACAAGTACTCCTTAGTTTGTAATACTCATTACTAAGATCAAAGTCATTATTGGTACCTAAGCACCAACAAAATACAATGAATTCTAATGTCATTCAAGTCTTAGTTCAATAAAAGAAATTTGACTATGTCACTACTCAATTCAAAAACTTCTACTAGATCCCTACCATTTACTTAACTGAGTCCAAAAAGTTCTTCATAATATGGCTTCAGCCTATCTTCTCTAACCTCATCACATACACATCTTTCCCATTTACTTTATACTCTAGTCCTTTTATTTTCTCCTTTTTTTCTCATTATGGCAGGCAGATATCATTGACTTTGCATATATTATTTCCTCAGCTAAGAACTCTCTTCACCTGTAATCTCTAAAAAAATCTGTAGGGGAAAAAAAAAATCCTGTATCTCTTTCACAATCTAGTTCAAATGTCAAAATCTTGTGTGAATTGATCCTTGGTGTCCCTATCTCCTATTATCTCTGCTAGGATAACATTAACGGATTCCCTCTACATGCCTATTCTTGTTTACTTTAGATGTCTGGCTCTCCTAATAAAATGTGCATTAGGTGTACAGGTTTTACTTAATTCTTGCGTGAACAACAAGCATTAGCACAGTGTGACATACAGTATGCTCTTTCAATAAATGTTTATCCAATGCTTAAAATATCACTCCTTTTTCCTGGCCTTCACATAGCTTCCGCTGTCCCAGAACAAACCCCACCCAGCCTATTAATGAATTTGTAAACAACGATACCTTGAGTATAGAACGGTTTGTTGGGCTGAAATCTGGCATTTCCCTGATGCATGAAGTTTTGATGCAAACCATAAGGCCACGAAGCTGGGACAAGAGGGAAATGGGGACGTGGTGCATGTTCCCAAGGAATTGGAGGATTTAGTCCTGGAAAGCCTGGCTCTGCATTTCAACAAGACAGGAAAGACATACTTTAAAACATCAGTTTGTTCATTTAAATATTCCTTCATTCCACAGAGATTTATTGAGAACCTACCACTGAACAAGAACAATGCTAAATACAGAGCATACCAGTTTTTTTAAAGAATCAAACACTGTAAATATGCTCAAATTATTCATAAAGAGACATACAAGAAGACAACAGAATAATATGTGGTCACTGCTATAACAGATGGGTGGAAGGTGTTATAAAAAGAAGGGGCTAACACATTTGGCTCAAGGATAGAGGTTTTCCTAAGATGATTAACTAAATTGAATTTTAAAGCACAAGGAACAAGTTAGGCAAAATGGGGCAAAGAGGGCACATTTTAGACAGAAGGAACAGCATATACAACAGTCAGGAAACAGGAAAGCAGAGCAAGTTTGGGAAGCCGCAAAACAATCAGTGATATAGAGAAAGGAGTAAAGGTAGGTAGTGATAAGAAAAAAGGCTAGACAGGTAAGGTAGAATTTACATTTCAAAGAACTATAGTACATCATTAAGGAACTTATATTTTATCCTAAAGACAATGCCAACTATCCTAGAAACAATTATATCATGGCCTGGAAGGTGATTCTATTAAAAGCTAAAGCACTTGGTGTAATGGTTGAGAACTTGGGCTTTGGAGCCAACGAGGTTGACACTCTAATCCCAGTTCCAAAAATTACTAAGTTTCAATTATGCACCTCAGGCTAGTGTGAGTATTAAATTAGATGACAAAAAGTAATGTGGCTTATCCAAGTTCTGGTATGTAAGTAGGAACTCAAAAAAGTATCAGTACTATTCTTTCTATGGCAAACTACCCCACAATCTACTTCCCTTTAAGATGTATCTGTAAGTACATCTTTCAAAGTACACCATTTCAAAGCACTTACTGAATCCTTGGACCATTTTTGGTGGCTTTTCTCATTCAGGATCATAATGTGGCAGGAAATAATCTAAAAGACACTGTCCTCACATTCATTAAACTTCCTAGCAGGAATGCAAATTAGGAGGTACAGAAAGGGAAGAGTACACAGCAAGAAAACTAAAACCCATACTAGCCACATTCTTAACAAGCTGAGTCTTCTCAGGAGGTAACCAGAAAAACAAAGCAGCTGTTTCATTGAAAGTTCATAAAATCAAGTTACAACTAAGAGCTGAAGCTATACTACAGGGTATATTTATTTCTTTAAATGAGACTGGGAATACATATTGAGGTCCAAATCAATTGAGAAATGATGTTTGACATAAAAGTGTACTTCTTAGAATATATCTAATCTCCCTTGGCCATTTTTCACAAATATTTTCATAATATAAACATGGAGGAGAAAAAGAACAGCTAACACAACTAGAGGACAGAATCAACAAGAGTTAAGGGCATCCTGCAGAAAGTGAGCTAAATTTTAAAATCGGGCAGGGGGTGGTGAGTGAGTTAGCCAAGCTTTGGAGCAAAGCAAAAGGATGTGCGAATAGGCAAGAAAGATAAAAGGGAGAGGACTTTCCAGACAGATGGAACAAATTAAGTAAACAATTAGGGATAAGAGACAGTATGGTATGTTCGTGGGATGTTCATTAGTTCATTAAGGCTGAAAGAGATCAACTAGTGGTGGTACAGGAAGGAACAAAGCTATAAAAACTGAGCCACTATACCAAAGGGCAAGACACTGTGTCTGTGTTCATGGGTATGTAACTCAGTAACGATCATGATACATGTCATGGCATATATACAATCAACTTCTGTTGAATGACAAAAGCAGAGATCACATTAGAATGGCCAAGTATGCCACATATCCTTTGACCCTGGAAGTCTAAATGAGTTCCCACATTCTGACATTTTCCCTCAGCAAAATACATTATCTGTATTGTCTCAGAAGAGTTTAGAGATACCTCCTCTATCATAGTGCTCTAAGCAACAACCTATTTTTGTTTAAAAAGTGCCAAAATTCTTTTGAGAATTAATAAAGGGAAAAGAGTCAAGCTTAGCCTACTTTTCCTATATAAACTACATTTTAGGATAATCAAGTAGTTAATAAGGAAATGTTCTTTAAGGAAGAACTTTTCTGTTCACAAATAGTGCACAGAAAATCATTTTATAACCCTTAGTGAAATAATGGTTATCAGCAGTAATTATCAACTACAGCTATGACTATTACGGAAAAATTAACGAGGAACTTTATAACAGATATCCAACTCATTGATCAATCTTAGGTCACCAAGAGAGTAATAGAAAGTAAGTTCTTTTTGAAATAAGGGAACAGGAAACATAGCACCAACCAGAAAGTAAAATTCTTACCAAAAAAATAACCTGAATCTAATCCAAACTCTGGACCTAACTAACTACCAATTTAGGAAATACGGGGACAGAGGTACATTTTAAGCAATGCCACAAAAATAAAATTCAGCCGACATTAGAATGTAGGAAGTGTTATAGTTTCTTAATAAACAGTTTATATGGGAGAAAAATAAAGAGGGGAAACTATTATAAATTAAAGGAGGCTTAAGAGATATAATAACCACCTGTAATGTACGGGGCTTTGTCTGATTAAAAAAAAAAAAACAACTTTAGAAAAATAGGTAAAAATGAACAAGAACTGGGTATTAGAGGATACTGGATATGGTAACAGTTTTGTGTGTTTAAGAAATACAAACAAGTTTATACAGAAATTTGACCCAGTGCCTGAGATGTGATTAAATACTAAAACCAAAAGCTTTCTTTAAATGAGGAAAAGGAGTGGGTCACCTAAGTGGCTCAGCCGATTAAGTGTCCAGCTCTTGACTTCAGCTCAGGTCATGATCTCGAGGTTGTGAGATTGAGACCCGTGTTAGATGCCATGCTCAGCAGGGAGTCTGCTTGAGATTTTCTACCTCTCCCTCTGCCTCTAACTCCCCTAAAATAAATAAATAAATCTTTAAAAAAAAAAAAAAGATAGTAAAGGAGTCAAGGACTAGCAAATACTGGTAACTGTTAAAAGCTGGGTAATGGGGGATAGGCTCATTATACTTTATTCTCTCTCCTGTATACATTTCAAATTTCCAATAATAGAGTCTTTAAAATAAAAATATTTTGGGGGCTCCTGGGTGTCGCAGTCAGGGGTCTGACTCAGGGTTTTTGGCTCAGGTTGTGATCTGAGTCATGAGATTGAGCCCCCAGTCAGGCTCTGTGCTCAGTGTGGAGTCTGCTTGAGATTCTCTCTCCCTTTCCCTCTGCCCCATCCACTTGTGCATGCTCTCTCCCTAAAATAAATAAATTAAGTCTTTTTAAAAATTATCAACCAAAACTGGATATAAAACAAGACTTCTGGTTTATCAAATATTTCAATTATGCAAATATTTTTTAAATGACTGGATCATACGACACCTAAATATTACTTGGCAATTATGTCTAGGAACTGAGAATATAGATTATTTTTTTATTATTCAAATGTTCAATAATGGAAATGTATTTCTATAAATCAGGAAAAAACTAGTACTTTTTAATGTTACAAAGTGCTACTAATATCATTTTAAAGAATTGTCCTTACTGGAAGATAGTAAAGAGGCTAGGGCAAAGAGCACAGGTTTTGAAGAAAGAAATTGGTTTAAATCTTGGATCTACTATGATTAATTATTAAAGCCTGATAGTTAAGTTACTTAACCCTGCAATATCCTCAACTATAAAATTAGCTTTAATAATACCCTACATCAAACTGGACTGTAGTGAAATTTAAAAATAAGTAACATTTATGTATATTACCTCATTTAATATTCACAATATCCCTGTGCATTAAATGCTATTAATATCCTTATTTTAATGATGAAACCAATGCACAAAGAGACTGAGCAACTGCCTAATGCCACATAATAAATGGCAGGGCTAGGATTCAAATCTAGACAGTGTGAATCCACAGCCCATACCCTTTATCTAATCCTATACTGCCCCTCATAAATATTGCCTGCCATTCTTTTCCTCACATTTATTTCGCCAAGTGCAACCAATCATACCAATCACCCAACCTTTCTACAGACAGATGCAAAAGAAGAAAAGGAAGGGTTACCCGAATTCCCCACTGTACCATTGTTCACCAGGGAATTTGGAGCCACAGTACGAGGCCAGTGTCCATCATGAGAGGAGTTAGGGATCGCCACAGGTCTGGCAGCAGGCTGTGCAAAGATGATGCTGGGATCGTTCAGGCCAATATTGCTGGGGGCACTGCCTGGTGCAGAGTGGATCACTGGACCATGGATAGGCCAGGATGGGGCAGGGATCTGGAGAGGGTGCATTGGCAACAATCCCATATTGTGCATGGGAGAATACTGAGCTGGTGGTGACTGGGGAAAGTTATACATAGGCATCTGGACCTGATGGGGGGGCTGGGCTCCCTGCTGAGGTGGGCCAAGCTTGGGTTGGGATCCTGGCTGGGATGGAGACTGAGTAATGGCAGCTGATTGGGAAGAATTCTGTGGAAACGGCTGGGGCTGAGGAGAATAAGATGGTGAATCAGACTGCAAAGAGAAAAAGATAAACATTTTAAAATTAATTTAAAAACATGTTAGTGTTATAAAAGCAGAGATTATCTACACAAAAATAGATATTTTATTAGAACATTATAAATACAACTCTATTATGTGAGTAAGAGCCTCATTTTACATGAAAATAGAATTTTCTCCAAAATCCTCAAACCCTCTCTGACATATATATTACCCTATAAACCTTTTTACTGCCCAAAGAAGAAAGAGCCCAGACGTCATTTCCATCATGCAGAGCTCACATTCCAACTGTAACTAGGAACTTGTATCTAAGTATCTCACAGGCACTTTGATTCAGCCCCTCAACAAGTTACTGAGTGTCAGTTACATCTGGGCATTGTTCTAGGTATTAAAAATACAATACTAGCATGTATGCCCTCATGGAATTTAAAGTTTGTGGGGGAAAGGAAAAAGAGCAGATGAAGAGATTACATGAGCAATTACAATGAAATACAATGATTACTATGATAAAGAATGCATGATGTATATTGTATAAGGAAATCCCAGAGCAGGAATATCTAAACAAACTTCTGGAGGAGAAAAAAATAAGAAGAATGAAAGTGGAAATCAAGGAAAGCTTCCCAGAGAAGTGACATTTAAGTTGAGATACAAGGGTAAATAGCAATCAGTCTAACAAAAGAGGGCAGGGATAGGGGAATAGGAGGAGTGTTTCATGCAGAGGGAACAACATGACTGAAGGAATATAGGTTCATGAACACCTGACCTGTTTAAGTAATCAGATTCTGAAAGAAGTTTATTATTACTGAAGTATAAGGGCAGGGGAATGGCAGATTTGAGGTTGAAGAACCAAAGAGGTACAAGATAATGAAGGGTCCCATAGGCCTTGTAGTTAAGACTTTATCCTGAGAGCGCAGGGAAACCACTGAAGGGTTTCAAACCAGTCAGGAACATGATCAATCTGTATATTAGAAAAATTATTCTGGCTTAATGGGAATGAAATAGAGAATACTTGGGGTAGGGTGGGGGAGACCAATAAGAGTGATTAAAAGGCTGGCCCTAAGATGATGGTAACCTAGGCTAGGGAAATACAATATAGGGACAGGGAAGCAAATAGCTGTGAGCTACTTTTTATAGGTAGAAATAACAGGAGTTGATGACTGACTGATGTGGGGGTTAAAGGAAAGGAAACTAGGAAGCAGGATCATTCAATGAGATGGAGAACCCAGGAGCCAAGAAGTGGCAAGTCTAGGAATTTAGAGAGAAGTATGTTACATTCTAGATATGTTGAGGTTAAAGTGCTTTGTGAGATATCAGAACATGTCCATTAGACAGACTCTGACCCATATCTCAAGTAAGAGGAAAGTGAGTGCTAAAGCAGAGAGTAAAAGTTTGAAGCAGCAGAGGAAAGTGGTTAGAACACAGGTTTTGAAGACAGGGCCTGAGGGTTCAAGTTCTAGTTCCAAGTACGTGCTGACCTCAGGCAAGAAACTTAAATCTTAGTTTCTTCACCTGTAATGTATAAATAATAAACAGAATCTATCTCATACATCTCTGTGTAGGTTAAGCAGTACATGTGGAAAATATAAACACCAAATTCAGGACAGTAGATACATTTTAGTAGCTAGGAAGGGATGGTAAGAAGGCTTTAAGATGGAAACAGCATCCAAAAAGAATGCACAGGGATTACTAACTATGGGTGATTTTTTAATAAAGGTAATAAATATTAAGAATTGTTAAAGCCTGGTGGTACTACATGGGTGTTTATTACTTTCTGTACTTTTTCAATATTTTATTACAAGAAACAGGAGAAATTATATATATGGTACACAGCAATCAACAATGTTAGCTAATATTATTGTTGTTATATAACATTTATGAAAATGTCAGGGCCATAATAGGTATTCAAATATTACAGATGGGGTTAGTGGGCTTCTAAATGTTGTTCCAAGATTCTCCCTATACTGATCTACAAATCCTTTGAGAATTTTTTCTAAAAAAGATATCATACCAGATTTAGCATGTTTAATAGTTAACAGCTTTGAGGCTACCTAGACCTGAGTTTGAATCTTTTAATTTCTCTTTTTCTCAGCTTCCCAATTTGTAAAATTTGGTCATACTAATACCTACCACTTCACATGCCACACAAAGGATTAAGTGTGAAGCCCCAAGCATAGTACCAGGTTTAAAGCAAGGAAAAGTGAATTGGGGGAAATAGGAGGGGGAGACAAACCATGAGGACTCTGAGAAACAAACCGAGGGTTTTGGAGGGAAGTGGGGTGGGAGGTTAGGTGAGCCTGATGGTGGGTATTAAGGAGGGCACGTATTGCATGGAACACTGGTGTGGTGCATAAACAATGAATCTTGGAACACTGAAAAAATAAAATTAAATTAAAAAAAAGGAAGCATTCAATTAATATTGAATTAATTTAAGAAGTGCAAGGTGAATACAGATTTACACAACGGTTAAGAGCAACTCAGCAAAGTTAATATGAAACTTGTGAACTCCAATTTAATACTCTTCTTTCACAAGATATATTTTATTAGGTATTCATATCAGCTATGAGAAGACACATAAAGACTTCAAGCAAGTCCAATGCCATGTATGTATTCCCCTAACATATTAAACCCCTAACACATCTCCATTTGGGGATATTTTTATAAATGTTGCTGATATTCTGCTACTGAAACCTCAATTACCTTATTTTAACTAATGAACAAATATATTAGGTAGCTGTTCTCTTAGGCAGGCTCAATAAAGTTAAGTAGCTTGCCCAAAGATATAAACCCAGATCTGCATTACTCCAAAGATAATGCTCACATTCCATCTCATGTGCCTAGCAGAAACACCTCTACAAAAGCACTGTTATCTGGATGACTATTTACCAGTCTAAAAGATCAACCCAGTAACCTATCAAAGATTGTACTATCTTCCCACCAAAACTAATCCATCTGCAGGCTGGGTACTTACACATTCTGAGGACTGTCTAGTCCTTATGGACTGATCACCCTGTTGCTGGGCTGAACCAGCCACCTGTTGGGCATTTACAAGGTTGCGGACCAGCTGGGCTGCTAAGAGAAGACATCAGAAAGAAAATCAACAGATAAAGAAAACAACAGAGAGATGACAATCAATAACTCCCTTCCTCTGTTAAAGAGTCTCAAATCCCTCTGAGATTTTATAAACTTGGACCTTTATAGTATTGCTATGTTTGTGAAGGACTTGTAACAACTAATTTTTTTAAAGCTATTTCTCAATCTTGTAAATCACTAAAAAAAATATACTGGTGGTAGAAACAAGAACAAAAAGACAAATACTCCTTTTCTAAAGGAGAAGATATATTTAAGAAAAATATCTTCTGCAGGGGCACCTGGGTGGTTCAGTGGGTTAAAGCCTCTGCCTTCGGCTCGGGTCATGATCCCAGCGTCCTGGGATCAAGCCCCACATCAGGCTCTCTGCTCAGCAGGGAGCCTGCTTCCCCCTCTCTCTCTGTCTACCTCTCTGCCTGCTTGTGATCTCTGCCTGTCAAATAAATAAATTTAAAAAAAAAATCTTCTGCAACAAGAATATGAATAACTGGAAATCATCACTTCTAAAATACTCTATTTTTTTCTTTCATTAAACTCTCATTTGGGTTTCAAAGTCTTAAAATTACTTATGAATTATAACAGAAACAGATCTCCCTCTCGCGTAAGAGCAAAGGGAAGAGATATAATTTCTCTTGTATATGTTCCCAGAAAAAAAAATTTAATTTCTATTATCTTTTGATAAAGAAAGTAACTCAAATCCAAAGAATACTTAAAGGGAGTTTACTGAATACAACACACTGCTAAGACCTTAATAGTGAACATATCTGAGTACTGTTCAAAATAAAGGACTGTCTAAATTTTATCTCTTTAAGAAATTATAAGGTCGAAAATCATACTGCTAACTTTGGAAAAGACAGGAATCAAGAGTCCTTAGAATGATATCAACACAAATGACCTTATTTCTACCAAAAACTATTTTTAGCCTTTTCTATTTACCTGCCACACTGCTATTCCTCTGACGGGCCAGCTTGACCTCTGGACACTCCCTTCGTACATGTCCTGCATCTCCACATATAAAGCATCTGAGGTCTCTGGGGTCTCTAAACTCTCGAGTGTCGTGGAGGTCTCGGGGATCAACAAGGTCTCGGGAATCTTTCTCCTCTTCATTCCCATCCTTCTCTTCTTCACTGTCTTTCTTCTTTAGTCTAAACAGTAAACTGCTGATACCAATAATGTGGGGCTAGGGACTTGTAAACTAAATGAATCACAGAACAAACTAAACTACACAAAAGTCTCACAATAAAGGGACTAACATGCTGATTGTTTCATGCACCATTTTTAAGGCAAGGGAACTCACATTTAGAGCACACCTACTCCTATGGCAGAAACTGGGTATTCCAGGAGTTTTATAATACAATATCAAATTAGAAAAAAAACCTTTAATACTGAATTTTAATCTTATAATTATCCTTAGAAGTTGGTATTTATTATCTCCATTTTATAGAGGGAGCAGCTGATGCTAGAGAAAGTGTCTTCTCTAAATTTAAGTCAGTATATAGTACTGACGGAACCCAGGAATTCATTCTGTTCGTAAAGTTCTAAGCTCTTTATATTTGGAAAGACTTAATAACTAAAGAAACGATTTTTCCTGGCTTATTGAAAAGAGTATATAAAACACAGGAAAGTCTATTTCATAAATATATTTTCAGGGGTGTGAAGGATGTCTATTCTTCAAGGTATATATTATATAGGTATACCTCACAGTAAGTGTCTCAAAGATTCAGTTAATTATATTTTAATTACTGATTTGTAGGACTGTGAGGTACTCAGGAAGAACCCCATGACTTGATCATTTTTTTTCTTGGCTCCTGGCACAGTTCCCAATAGAGCAGGTGTCAATAAATGCTTCTTCAATTAAAACAAAAAACCTGAATGAAGTGAACAAATGAATGAGATAGCACTGTGTCACAAATAAATCTCACTCTATTAAAAAAATTCCACTCCAATATACATTTTACCTAATGTCCAATTTAAAGCCCTGAACCTTCTTACTTAAACATATATGAACACAGTTATAGCTACTATTGGCCTCACATTTATTTTCCCTGTAATGTTGATACATAATCATTTGCCAACCTTCTCCTTTTAGGGCAGTCTTTCATGTAGTGGCCTATTTTTCCACACACACGACAACATCGATCGTTGGGAGCCAGTTCTCCATCTGTTAATACTCGGGAATCAAAGAAGTACTCCTAGGGAGAAAATAAAACTTTACTAGAAAAAAAAAAAAAACCAAAACATTAGGAATTGTGGAATCCAAATGGAAAGAAGACCAAGATATAAAAGTGGTTTTAAAAAAAAGGAAATAAATGGGGAGCCCGGTGGCTCAGTTGGTTAAGCATCAACCTTTGGCTCAGGTCATGATCCCAGCGTCCTAGGATCCAGCCCTGCGAAGGGCTCCCTGCTCAGCAGGGAGTCTGACTGTCCCACTCCCCTTCTGCCCTACTCATGCTCTCTCTCTCAAAAAAATAAATAAAATCTTAAAAAAAAAAAAAAAAGGAAATATCAAAAAACTTTTCAATGTAACTAAAACCATAATATGGAAATAAGAATAAGGGTGCCTGGGTGGCTCAGTGGGTTAAAGCCTCTGCCTTCGGCTCAAGTCATGATCCCAGGATCCTGAGAAGGAGCCCCACATCAGGCTCTCTGCTCAGCAGAGAGCCTGTTCCCCACCCTCTCTCTCTGCCTACTCTCTGCCTACTCGTGATCTCTGTCAAATAAATAAATAAATAAAGCCTTTTAAAAAAAAGAAAGAAAATAAGATTAAGAATTATCTTAATCTTATCGGGGTGCCTGGGTGGCTCAGTCAGTTAAGCCTCTGGGAGCCCCGAATCCGGCTCCCTGCTGAATCAGGCTCCCTGCTGATGGATACCCTGCTTCTATCCCTTTGCTGCTCCCCCTTGCTTGTGTATGCACTCTCTCTCTCATAAATTTTTAAAATCTTTTTTTTTTTAAAGACTTTATTTATTTGACAGAGAGAGAGATCACAAGTAGGCAGAGCAGCAGGCAGAGAGAGAAGGGGAAGCAGGCTCCCCGCTGAGCAGAGAGCCCGATGCGGGGCTCAATCCCAGGACCCTGAGATCATGACCTGAGCTGAAGGCAGAGGCTCAACCCAATGAGCCACCCAGACACCCCAAATTTTTAAAATCTTAAAAAAAAAAAAATTCTCATCACTGGCGGCCCTGGGTGGCTCAGATGGTTGAGCATTCAGCTCTTGATTTCAGCTCAGATCACGCTCTCAGGAGTCGTGGGATCCAGACTCCAGTTGGGCTCTGTGCTGGGCAGGCAGTCTCCTTCTCTCCTTTTTTCTCTCCCTCTCCCTCTACTCTTCCCCCTACTCTCTCTCTCTCTCTAATAAAGAAAAAAAAATTCATCAATATCACAGTTGCTAACAGTGCTAACCACATTACAGCCACATTATTTCTTCACTTATCTGTGCCATCTTTGCATAATAACTCAACAGATACTATTTTCATCCTCATTTACAGATGAGCAAACAGAGGCTCAGAAAGTAAGTCATTTGCCCATAGTAAAATCTGCCCATTACCTGATAGGTAAGCAGGATTTTTTTTTTTTTTTAAGATTTTATTTATTTATTTGACAGACAGAGATCACAAGTAGGCAGAGAGGCAGGCAGAGAAGAGAGGAGGAAGCAGGCTCCCTGCGGAGCAGAGAGCCCGATGTGGGGCTCGATCCTAGGACCCTGGGATCATGACCCAAGCTCAAGGCAGCGGCCTTAACCCACTGAACCACCCAGGCACCCCAGGTAAGCAGGATTTAACGCTAAGTTGGTCTGACTACAAATCTCATGCTTTCTGCCTTACCAGGCTATTTCTAGAAAAGAATTATTCTCTTTACAAAAGACTTCTCTAGGGGTACCTGGATGGCTCAGTGATAAATAAGGATGTTATAACACTGATACAATAAAAACAATCTAAATGTCCATCAAAGGAGAACAGTTAACTTAGTATATAAACAAGCCACAGAATACTATTTGACTTTTAAAACAGAAAAAAGTGTGTCCAAAAAATGGTTAGCAGACTCACAGGCCCCTTCAGATAGGCCTCAAACTGATTTTTGGCTCTTACACCAAATGATACTCAAGACCAAAGACTGACATCTACTCGGACTACTTATACTGAGTTATTAAGAGTTACTAAAATTCTGGAGTGCCTGGGGGGCTCAGTCGTTAAAAGCCTCTGCCTTCAGGGGCACCTGGGTGGCTCAGTTGGTTAAGCCTCTGCCTTCGGCTCACGTCATGATCTCAGGGTCCTGGGATCGAGCCCTCCATCCATCGGGTTCTCTGCTCAGCAGGGAGCCTGCTTCCCCCGCCACTCTCTCTGCCTGCCTCTTTGCTTACTTGTGATCTCTCTTTCTGTCAAATAAATAAATAAAGTCTTTAAAAAAGCCTCTGCCTTTAGCTCAGGTCATGATCCCAGATTCCTGGGATGGAGCCCTGCATCAGCCTCCCTGCTCAGCGGGGAACCTGCTTCTCCCTCTCCCACTCCCCCTCCTTGTGTTCCCTCTCTCACTGTCAAATAAATAAATAAATAAATAAATTTTTTAGAAGTTACTAAAATTTTGTATTCATAGACTAAAATTAACACATTTTTGGTTTACTAAAAATTCTAATAGTCTACCAAAAATTCTCACAATACGAAACTGCTAGGTTCTTATAGGACAGACATATGCATATATACACACTAATAGCTGGAATTCCCACAATTTTCAGGTAAAATGCTTTATCAATGCATCATCAATTTGTTTTGATTTGACTGTACTCTCTTCATTTATTGTTTTTTTAATTAGCATGTTAGTAAAATCATTGTTGGATTTTCCTTTTGACATTTTGTTCTTACACAACTTGTCATTTCAAATTTTACTATTATTTTCTTTCTCTCCATTATAGTTATTACCACCCCCTCCCAAGAGGCAGGGCAATAAAAAAAATGTCAAGAACCAGTACTGCAAGGGAAAAAAGCTATAGATATTTCTGCTTTTCTTACCCCACATCCCAAAGAAAGAGTGCATAAACTGTACTGAACAAAATCAAGGGTATTTGTTATGCAATAGTAGAGACACAGTTTCTCTCTTGAGATTGCTTCTCTTTGAAGTTTCTTTCTGTATAAAACTTAGACCTCCTCCCATTAGAAAGCAAGCAAAAAACAGAGTGAGACCAAGAGCAACAGGAAATACTATGCCACCCAGCTCAGGCAAAATGAATCCTCTCAGTTCCATGCCATCAAATTCAGTTACCAGGGCTACACCAAAATTAGAGAAGTCTCAGCAAGTAAGAAAGTATTTCTTTGGTGTTTTCCTCTCTGTTTATATTTTCATCAAAATTTCCAGAGATGGAAGAAGGGCAGTGGTCAGCACCTCAAATTCCAAATTTAAGGATACGGACTCTTGACTATCTGTCTTCATTCACTCAACAAATGCTTATTTAGTACATTCAATGTACCATTTCTTTTTTAAGATTTTATTTATTTATTTGACAGACAGAGATCACAAGTAGGCAGAGAGACAGGCAGAGAGAGGGGAAGGGAAGCAGGCTCCCCGCCGAGCAGAGAGCCCGATGCGGGGCTCGATCCCAGGACCCTGGGATCATGACCTAGGCTGAAGGCAGAGGCTTTAACCCATTGAGCCACCCACGCACCCCTCAATGTACCATCTTAATAGGTACTGGAGATATGACGGTGAAGAGACATAATAGACCCTTGTCCTCAGGTAGCTGTAATCTAATAGCAGAAGAAAGAATTAAACAAGTAGATATACAAAATTTACCAAATAGATAACTCATTATGAACTATGATAAGTACAATAAAAAAAATACAGGGAGTGTATAATCATCTCTTCTCCCTATTTCTACTTGGAAATAGGATAAAGCTTACTGTACCACAAAAAAGGCAGCTCTACAAGAAAAAAGATTCAGAATCCAAATTATGTAAACTTACAGCTTCTCTGCCAATGAGTGGATAAAAGGGGGTACCAAAAAGCTTCCTTCCATTGATAAATGCCTTCATGATAAAATTGGTCACTATTGAAAAAAGAAGAAAGAAGAAAGATGCAGTGTAAAATGTGTAAAAGCTTTAAAAACAGGGGAGTTCTAAATTTAAAACTTACTTTTTCTAGAAACTCCAGCACCAAGGTTATGATTCAAGTCAAAAGGATCTAGAAAAGATATATTTATTTTTTAATTAAGAATTCTGTTCACTGTAACATAAAATATACATACGAGCCATACCAAGAGAGTAATACTTTAGAACTCAGACCATTCAAGTCACCAAATTATTCTTTTAAAGTTATAGATTTTAAAAAGATAGAAATTGGGATGGGGGAATAATAAAAGGACAGAAACATAAAAATCAAGAGGAAGAATCTTCCAAATTCTAATGTGTTTTCAGTTTTCCCTTCTATCTCCTGGCCAAATGAAACTCCTGCTTTCTGTTTCGTTTTGTTCCTCAGTTAATGTCAGCTAAATGATTACCTTCAATTGCAATGCATTTGGATGTCCACTGCTTCTCAAAAGTTGTCAACAGCTTTTTCTGCCGAATGCTAATTACATATTCCTTGAAATCAAACTCTTCGGTATAGAAGCGAAGCAGTCCCAACCAAAGCTCTCCTAATGTTTCTGTGTTCTTTCCAAGTGAAGGTAAACGCTTTTTCTATAGGTAAGAAAAAAGAGGGAGAGAGGTGTCTATACCTATGTAAAATATGGATTCCAAATATAAGTAAAATTATTAAATTATGCAAATCCCAACACATATCAGTGAGCATTCTATAACATAAAGACTATGAAAAAATTACCAGTTCTTCTGTTTTATCAAAGAAAAATGCATTCCATCCATCAACCATTCTCTGTGGAATCTGTTTTCCATCAAAGATCTGTAAAAATAATTTTATTATTAGATTTCAAGTCCTCTAATCCACACGCCTAAGTATCCTCATATCATTTTAGAATGTATCTATAAGAGATATTGAGATATTTCTTTCCAGAAGGAAATGCCAGGATGGTATAATTTGATGCCACGTTATTAATAAGTGATATGTATCTGGAAAATCAAAGCTAGGAAAGGATACCTTAAGAGCTTGAGACTCTCCAAATGACACATTTGATCTTATCTATTTGGCCTGTCAAAACACATCCAGCCCAAGACTAATGAAGTAAAATGAAAAAAATAAATAAATAAAAACACATTTTATTTTTTATTTTTATTTATTTTGTTTTAAGATTTTCTTTACTTATTTATTTGAGAGAGAATTAAGAGTGAGAGAGAGAGAACATGAGAGGGGAGAGAGTAAGAGGGAGAAGGAGACTCCCCGCTGAGCAGGTGGCCGGATGCAGGACTCAATCCCAGGACTCCATGAATATGACCTGAGCCAAAAGCAGTTGCTTAGTCACCTGAGCCACTGAGGTGTCCCGAAGACCACATATTCACCAAAGGATCATAGATGTAGAAATACATAATATCTACTGATTTGTACACCAAAAGGAAGTCATTGGAACTGCTTATTTTGGGGAAAGGCTCCAGTACTTTTAATCAGTTATCTCTATCAGATGATGCTGAAAGGCCCTGGGTATTGATTTCTTTAAAGAGAAAATCAGACAGCTTTTCCTAACATCTTGATAAAAACTATAAAATCTTCATGATTATGAATAATAATCCACTGTCGTGAGGAAAGGGAGGGGGAATAATGCTCCTTTATTAGAAGAAAAGTATCTCTTTAAGATGAGTTCTTTAAAAAGTAAAAAGCTACAACAGGTTCACAGTCAGCAGACCTCATTTCTCTAGTCTTAGTCCTGCCTGGTAGTGATTCTAAAGACCATCACCCTCCTAAACCCTTCACTGTTATCCCAATGAAAAAGAGAGATTATAGAGTAATTAGGTCAGTTGTTTTCAAATTTCATTTTTCTTTTAAGCTGTAGAATCCTTTCCTAAAATGGAACCTTTCTGGAAGCTTAAAGTAGATAAAAGCAAAGGTGCTTCAACAGAATCCTAAGTGGAGAAAATATACCCAATTTTTTCCTTATCTCACTTCTCATACATACTCTAATGAGCTCCTAGAGCTTACTAGAAAATACTTTCAAACCATCAGATAAGGTGGTCCACATCACCCCTTCCATTTTAGATGGCACAGTGATTTACAAAATTAACATGTCTGGCCCCTCTAATTTCACTCTCAGGTTTAAGTTCCTTATACAGCCATGCTCTGGAAGCATGTTTACAAAAAGATGAAGTTTCCAGAAACTTAAGCTAAGAAGTTGTTGTTTTTTTTTTTTAAAGAGAGAGTGAGCGAGCGAGCGAGCATGTGAGCGCCCACAAAGGAGGAGGGGCAGAAGGACAGAGGGAAAGAGAATCTCAAGCCAACTCCCACTGAGCATGGAACCCAACTCACTGCTCTATCTCACAATTCTAAGATCATGACCTGAGCCCAAATCAAGAGTTAGACACTTAAGTGACTGACCCACCTAGATGCCCCAGTTGCTTTTATACTTCTGTGTAACATAAATACAGTTACCACTTATCTACCATAAATTCTGACACTTCATAAAACAAACAAGGGAGAGGGTGGCAATTAGATATTGATACCTAAAACAAATCTGCCCTGAAAAAAGAAATGAAGGTATTAAAGAAACCAAAGTGTAATATTTTACCATTATAGAATATTTTACCCTTATTGATGCTATTATAAGTATTACATGGGAATAATATAAGCTACACTGTTAGACCTTGATTCTTTTTAATAAAATTCTTATTTTGACTAAAATCTATGATCCAAACCCAACTATGTTGGCTGGTAACACAGTGAAGGGGACCCTGGAGGCCTTGAAAGGTATTTAAACACTGATTTGCCTATTTTTTTTTTTAATGAGCTCTCATATTTCACTTTCTAACTTTCCACTGTTTCAGCCCTTAGGATTACTGCTATTCCCCTTTCTCTTACACACACACACACACACACACACACACAATTTCTCTTTCCATTTCTCTCTCTCCACACTAAGCATGCCCTACTCGAGTTTTGAGTTCTACTCAGTCCTCCCTAAAACCTCATGAACAATCATATTTGTACAAGGAGTGGCCCTGTATGCTTACCATATTGACTTTCATATTTAACTGTAATACTTTAGTATCTGCTGCTATATTTAAACTGCAATACTTAAATTTTTTAGTTGTAAAATACACAAAACAAAAATGATTATGATGGTAAATTTTACAAGTGTTCAGTTCAGTGACACTAAGTACACTCATGTTGTTGAGCACCATCATCACCATCCATTCACAGAATTCTTTTCATCTTGCAAAAACGAAATTGAACTATTAAACAATAATTCCCCACCCCCCCCTTTCTTAGCCCCCCAAAACCACCATTCCACTTTCCATTTCTATGAGTTTGACTACCCTATATAAGTGAAATCATATAATATTTAGTCTTTAGTGACTGGTTTACTTCACTTATCACTTAGCATATTGCTCTCAAGATTCATCCATTCAGTTGTAATTTTTAAGCTAATATAAGCTAAGAAAACATAGAAGTTCATAATATCAAGTGTGATTACCACGCTTAATCCTCTTTTTAGTATTTTTACATGAAAATTTATTTTCACTTATGAGTTTCTAGAATACAGCAAAATCATTCTGCTTAGGAAAGCTCCTTTTGACCTAAAGAACTCTGTATTATTAACCATGAAAAATACACTTAGCAGAGTCTTACTTATACCCAGTCACTTCAAGTCTAGGTTCAGTTATAAATGGAGTCAAAGATCAACAGCTTCATTAAACATATCCTTACCCTTAAAAGTTGATCGATGTCAATGACCAATACTTAAATGATGCCAGAGCAATGGACAATGGGGTCCCATATGACAAGCAAAAAAGGCCAGAAGCAAAAATCCATATATCATCAGTTCATATGTATCACAAAGCCCCCCACAATCAGAGCTCATTATGATGGAAAACATTCCATGGACTGTCTCTCATTTCATCAAGCACTGTTAAGCAGATAATGGAAGAGTTCTTGAAGTTGGCTACCGCAGTCCTGCCTACATTTTTCCAATAATAATATTAATACAGCTGCTAATGACAGTAGTAGTAATAATAATGATGATGATAAAGCAAGCATCATTTATGAACACCTACTTTAGCACCTACTATAATTCAAGGGCATTTGATTTCTCTGTTCCTTAGATCACTAGTGAAATAATACTATTACTACATTATTATCGATGAAACTCAGCCTAGTGGCAGTCAGGCATTTTAGTGAAGGCCACAATGTCAGAATTAGGATTCAGACCAGGTAAGCTCTAGCTCTAAAATCATGCCTGCTCTTTGCATTATATAGTACTGCCTGAATGGCTCCTCATTCATGGATAATATAATCACCCACAGAAAAATCACCCCAAAAACAGAATTTGTGTGCTACTTTAGTTAATTATAGTTTTCTGTCAAAGTCATAACAAATCATAGTAAATGGCTGCTATGATATTCCTGTGTAATAATGTGTTTAAGACACCCAAATTTAAAGCCTTAACAACAGTTAGACTAATACAGAGAATGACCTTGGTCTTGCCAGGCCTCATTAATTCATTTTAAGTTTTAAATATCCTACTATACACAACCTTGTTAAAAACAACATCACTCAACACAGATTTAGCAACTTAAAATTTTCTGCCAGGAAAGGATATTTGAAATTTCTGTTTCTTCTCCACTGTTAATTTAAAATGGGAAATAAATGCTGCTATAAGTACATGGCATTCATTAGAACTTTTTAAAAACTTACTAAGGCCATCTAATATCCACCATATGGCTTGCTCATTTTGTGATTTTCTTCTCTGCTGTGACCACTGGTTTGTGTAAAGTCAGAATATATGATTTGTCAAACAATTCTGATGTGTCTCTTTTACGTCAAAATAATCACCTTTCTAAGAACTTAGAACTGGATTCTCCCTAATACTTGCAAATACACTTTGTGCCAAGAATGAGGAGGAACAGATGGGATGATTAAGAACTCCTTTAAACCTATTTCACACAGTATAAATTGGCTACAAAAAGGGAATCCATGAGTCACCAAATCTGAATGAATAGGAGTATGATGTTTCTTCTGATGTACATTCTTATGCTTAATGCAATAAACATGACCTTACAGAGATGAGGAAGAAATTTCCTTGGGTTTTCTCTCAACCAAAATTCACAAAGTTAACCAAAGTATACACAAGAATATACCAAAGTTCCTTGTCAGGCAGGAGCAGGGAGAATACTATGGAGAGAAGAAACTTTATATTTGCATCTGAAAGACTATAATGCATGAGTTCATGGATGGCTATAAGACTTTCATAATCATTTGCAGCATTCTAAGACTATGAAATACAAACAAGCTACAAAAGATACTTACTAGTTTTATTCATCTAAAACTTTCAGTGGTCTATATTCTCCTATAATCAATTTTTCAAAAAGATTCATTATGTGATTACATCATTAAGGGAAGAAGAAAACTTAGGATGTCCATGCTAGAAAAATCCTTCATGACCTCATAAACTGATCAAGATCTACTGTGTTTAGATTAATGTTTTCACAAGAAACTCTTTTACAGTTTTCTTAAACACCTACCTCTTGTAAAACTGGGATAACAGGTGGTTTTCTCTGCTGCAGAAAGTACAGCACCATAAGGATATAAGCATATGAAGATAAACTTCCCCTGGAAGCATCTCCAATGTCACATCGCTGAAGAAACAAAACAGTGATTGAAAATATAACTTCAGAATCTTATTTATGCAGAAGTACTGACTACTCTGAGATACTATCTTTTTAACCCATCAAACTATCAAATATCCAAAAGTTAAATAACAAACTATTATGAAGATGGGTAAACAGGCACTCTCATACATTACAGATGGCTGTATAAATTAGCATAAAATCTATGAGTAATTTGATAATATCAAAATTACAAAAGTATATCTCACTTAAACTAGCAATTCTGAGAATTTATCCTGCAAACGCACCAAACACCAAAAAACATGAGAAGTAACTAAACAAGTTTTTTTAAGCATAACCCTGTTGCAACAGCAAAAAGCCAGAAACAACTTAAGACTACTCAATAAAGTACAGGTTCTAAACAACTGATGACTATTTACACAACTGAATAGGGTGTAGCCATTAAAAATGAACAAGGAAGGAAAAAAAAAAAGAACAAGGAAGCTCTAGTATACTAACAGGAAGTACTTATTAGTATCTATTGACCAGTGAGAAAAGCAAAGTACAAAATACTGTTCTTAGTATATTTATACCCGTTATAAAAAGGAGATAAGAAGTTTTTGTATTTGCTTATACTGGTGTATTTTTGGGAGGATACAAACCAACTTTTAACACCAGCTTGAGTCACTGGTTGGCTAGGAGACAGGTGTGAAAGGGAGATTTTCTACCAAAAATCCCTTTAGACCTTTTGAATTCTGAACCAGATGAATAAGTTGACTATTCCAAACAAAATTTTTAATTAAAAATAAACCCTAAAAGAATCCTCAGAAGCTTCCCCTGAGTAAGACTTTGGCTGGTATATAAAAGGGGGAAGAATGATTTCTCTGACATGAAAGACTTAAGTTTCAATACCACAACACCAACTGAAGTACAGAACCATTATGCTAAAGTTATTCTGTGAGGTGAATCTAGAAAAGTAGCCATATCAAATATAATTTGAGGATGTGACTAAATGCCACTCTTTTCTAAGATGACCTCTGTTGACAAAGACATGTATAGGAAATATCTAAACAAGTACTGTCTCTCTGTTGTAGAAGAGTGGATTTAGCAAAATGAAAATGCAACCAATCACTTGGCTACTAGGAGCCTTCCGCCAACACATTAAAAAAATTAACTATTTATTGAGCAACTCCCATAAAGCAGGTACACTAAACTGGGGACACGGGTCTCCATCTTCATTGAGTTTACACACTTAGCTAAAAAAAGAAAACAGAATTCAGTATTATAAGTGTTATAATAGGAGAAAAACAAGATTTCATTGGGATTTTTTTGTTTTCTTGGACAGAAATATTTATGACTAAACCCAAATCTCAGATGTCTTAACCCAGAGATTCTTAAGTAGCATCATATGCCAATTCTCATACCTGGGGCTGAAAATCTTTACTGCATTGAGAAATTTTACTACTGAGAATTTACTCAAATGTTACACATGGGAATAAAGCACATACAGGAAAAAAAACTAAGACATTACTCTAGTAAGTATAAACTTAAATCATTTACTATTGAGTGCTTCCTTTAAAAAGCTCAGATAAACAAAACTGAGAAGATATTTTTCACAAGTCTGACACCAGTATATTTCATTTTAACTATCATGAGTACTATAACAAAGGAGATCATTAACTAGTTCATAAATACCTTTGCAAACACTTTCATAGTATATCCCAAGTACTGTACTCTAGGATCAATAGCTGCATAAGTAGCTAGCATTCTTGTGTTATGTTGAGCCTGAAAAAAATTACATAGCTGAAAGCATTTCAAATGTATTAAACTTATATATCAGATAAAAAGACATAATATACTCCAAATATAATATATAACTGTAAAACTTAAAATACCTGTAAATGAGTCAAAAACTAATCTTCAATCTGAAGGAAATATCAAGATGATTCTTAAAAATATTTTTGTCTTATAATGCTCCTATTTAAAACTTTTAAACATAAATGTATAGTAAGCGATCTGTGAACTTTTTTTTTTTAACCTATAAACTTTTAAAATGACAAGTGTAAACATACCTAGGTCTATACAGAAAGAGAAACTTACCAATGTATTATATAAACTGATATCACCTTCTAAACCACTTCGTCTATGTTCAAATTTTACTATAGGCACTTTGGCAGTAGTTATAGGCAAAATGTTTCTTAAACCTGATTTAAAACAAACAAATACAAAAACTTCATTAGGTTAAATAATTTCCATAAATCTAAAAAATATTTTGTTGCTTTAAAGCTGTAACTTCAGAATCATACCTGGATGTCTCTTAAGAATTTTTGCCAAATTTTCAATTATTTCTTTACAGTTTAATTTCTAAAAAACAAAAGAAACAAATAATAAAGTTTGTCTAATTTAATTTGGCCTTGTGCAAATTCACTTTAACCAGGCATTTAATACTAGTATTGAAAATCTCTAGCTATAAGCTACTCAAAGTATATGGTCTAGAGACCTGCAGTAAGGCCACCATCTGGAAACGATGGAAATGCAGAATCTGAGGCCCCACCCCAGACTACCAAATCATAATTTACATTTTAACAAGATTCCCAGGTCACTGACATTCACATTAAAGTGTGAGAAGCACAAAGACAGGAGAATAATGTTTTCAAACACATGAATATGTAACTAGAGATGGATCTGGTAAGGCAAAACAGTATACTGTTTAAGAACATGGGTTCTTAAAAAAAAAAAAAAAAAAAAAAAAAAAAGAACATGGGTTCTGAATTTAAACAAACCGGGATTCAGTCTTCAACTAATTATTATTAATTAGCTGCGTGACTTTGACCAGATCCTTAACCCCTTGGAGCCTCATATTACTAGTCTATAAAATCAAAATAATTATAAATTCCTGCCCTATCAAGTAGTTGGAAGGATTACATGAAACATGTATGTAAAGCATTCAGCAGCATGCTTGACACAAAATAAGCACTTCAAATCTATGAGCTATTTATTTGTTATCATGTTGATGAAGAAAAGTAATCCAATTACCAGTACCTACTTCTTCAAGAAAATTCTTACCTCTACAAGTTTAAATATATTGATTTTTTAAAAAATCAGAGATAGCAGAGTTGATATGGCCACAATACAAGGAATAGGGAAGATAATGGCATTATAAATTAACTGGATTAAGCTGAAGAGTATATACATCAGTGCCCACACTTACTACTAAAATCACATTTGCATATCCCAAACATGCTCTTTTTGGTACTGGAGAGCAGTAATCAATGCAGCTTAACCTTGCAGCTTAACCTGAAGATTTCAAGGGAATCTACAGTTGCTAATAAAAATAATAAAATTTATTATGCAAGGATACAACTTATGCTAAATTACAAATTTCAACTATGTCTCATCGGAAGAGAATGTATTCTTTTTCATTGCTTCAACTTTTCAGTGTGAATGGCACAGAAGATATATAACAGACAAACCCTTAGTGATCAGAAATCTGATTATTACATTTTATATAGAAGGTATCTAAACCCTAACCTCCACCCCTGGGTAAAATAATTTCCTATTCCTTCAATTCTTGCTTTTCAAAATGGAGAGGGGCAGCCTCTTTTCAGTAGATGGCACTGAGTAGAACTTAGTTAAGAAGAACTAAAATACTTATATTTCTATTTTCTTTTTTTTGATAAAACGTTAATACCAGAAATAATTTCTTAGGGCCAGAAATAAGGATCTACCAGACATCAGTACTCTGCCATCTTTACTCTGGTTCTAACAATTTAAAAGCCACCTTTTGAAAAAATTAGGTACACTACTCTGCTGAATTCTTTTATGGTGTAATAGAGGCTATACTGACACCACTACAGATGCCAGAAGCTTGGCCACACCCCAATCTTGCAAGCAGTCCCTGATTTTGAGACATAAATTCCAGCAGATATGTTGGTAAAGGAAGGAGCAACTACAGGGATCCCCTCCTTTCTAGTTGCTGCTAGGAAGGCCTGGGATAGTTCCCTATGCAATTAGTCCCTTTCTTTACTGGAGCTTGGACAATCTTGTTTCCACTGCTGATGGTACATGAAAAAAGAAAGCACAAGTACCCACTCTCACTGCTGAAGACTGCTCTGGGGGGAAGGTCTGCTCCTGGCATCTCACAGTGAAACCCCAAAAGTAGAGATTAGGTTCTACAGTACTATTAGTACTATATTTCAGCTACATTATGGGTTAAATAAATTACAGAGAAGCAGTGAGATACAATGGAAAGAGCATGAACTGTGGAGTCAGACAGACCTGGGTACGAATCCCGGCTCCAACATTTACTAGCTGTGTGAACTTGGGCAAGTCAGTTTATTTCTCAAAGCCTCAGTTTCCTCATCTGTAAAACGGGGGAAATTATCTACCTCGAAGGTGGTTTTAAGAATGAAATGAGGCCTCAGTAAATGTTAGTTCCCCTTGCCACCCAAAATGAGTGTCTAAAAGCTATCCTAGAACACATTTGTTAACATTGCTTTACAGAAAAAAGTGTGTTCTAAGTGCCCCCAAATTACAATTAACTTGTACAACACAACCCATTTATAAATTAGATGTCCACTTTTATTTTCTAGTGATACAAAGATATCACCTAATGGAAGAGATATGAAAAGACAGAGGAAATGAGATCAGTAGCACCAGCTGCACATTGGTTCCAATGAAAAAAACTGCAACTCTATGGTGTATTAACTTCTTCCAAAAATTCAATACAAAGCACTTTTAACTTTCAGTGACATGGTTTTTGTGATATAAAATTACTGAATTTTAAGTAAATTTACTTACTTAGACATCTGAATGTCTTCTAAAATGAAAATGCTAAATGCTTTTACATTTCAAATACTATTATTGCTAATATATTTATACAAAGAATGACACCATACGTTTATCAATACTACATACATAATTTAAAATACATTCACCACTGCAAGAAAATAAACTTCTACATCTCTTTCCAAACACTAACTCTTACCTCCGCATTTTCATGGCCTTCCAGGGTCATACAAATATCCAGATCACTATCACGAAATCCAAATCCATTCTTAGAAGAGCCAAATAAGCACAGTCTTGCCTTTTCTAAGTAAAGAAAAACAAAAGTAAAAAGTTTTATAATTAGCAGGAAAGAGGAATCTTCTATTACCCACTAATGGACTAACACAAGATGATCTTGTCTACTTTTATGGCTTAAATACCTTCCATTGCCAGATATACTGAGAAATTCCCAAAATATTCAACTAAAGCCCAGATCTCTTACCTAAGTTCCCACAACCCTTGTTTCCAACTGCTTTTTCCATTTTTCTACAAACATCATAAAATTAACAAGTCAAAACTAAGCCTTCAGCTTTTTACCTATTCTCAGCAAATAGTATCTTTATCTACTCGACTGCTCACGGCACCCCCTCTCTCAGCTTCTACATCCAAACAGTCACCAAGTCCAATAATTTCTTTCAACTTAACTATCTCATAAATCCATCTACTTTTCTTCATTCTCCACATCACTACTAAGAGTAAAGTTCAATATTTGGAGATTTATCTTTTGGAAATGAACGAGTTTTTTTCAGGCACAATTCCAATAGTTTTTACAAATATCACCTTAATACATAGACTTAATTCTCCCAAAGTGAGTGATTAATCCATTTGATATAAATTATGATAGGGTTATCTTTTCATATTTAGTGTCATTCAATAACAGGTAGCACTTCAAGCAAGCTGTCACTTAACTGGATTGGATTTCTCTCACTATTAATTCTTTAGATTATATATTTAGTTAAGAAATTCTGCATTTTCGAAACCTAATTCTCCAATTCAGTTCTGATGTCCAACTTGAAATTTCAAATGGCAACTGAGAGACATAAAAGAAGCTATGTTCATCAGCAAATAAAAATGTGCATGAGTTTAACATAACAGACTTAGATTTGGTCAGTACTTTACATACTAACAAATATAACGGAATATGGAATCCTATAGTATATAACAGATTATCTTTTACAAGTACAAATTCATTCTGATGTATAAATCAACTCTTTATCCTTTTCTAAAATATGTGGCCACATAACCCTTGATTCTTCACCTCTGTACCCCAAATCCCAAATCTACTCCTTCTGCTATTTTGCTATCTCAATTAAATAATATCACCCAACTACTGAGGTAACAATCTTGAAATGATCCTTGACTCCTTTTTTTCCCTCACATTTACCATGTAAAACATCAGCAAATCCTACTGGCTCTACAGTCAAATTATGTCCTATTTCTGACCACTTCTAATCGACTCTTCCAGAACACTGTATGTCTCATCCGAACTTATGCAACAGCCTCCTAAATTGTTCCCCTTGCTTCTATTCTTAAGGACCTATACTTCATTCCCTCAGATCATGTCACTTAAGTGTTAAAACCTTCCAGAAGCTTCTCATTAGACACTCAAAATTTAAAACCCTCTACCAATACCTATAAGGCTAATGACTCAATCTCCAGGCTACCTCTCAGACCTTATCTTTCTGTTATAGTCTACCTTACACATTCCACTGCAGCCACATTGATGTCCTGCATGGACTTCAAACATGACAAACATAACTCAATCTTGGGGTATCTGTACTTGCTGTTCTTACTCTCTGGAATGTTCTCTCCTTGGATATTCACATAACTTGCTCCCTCACATTACTCATGGCTCTCTTCAAATGTCACTTTATCAGAAAGAACTACCGTAACAGTATAGAAAACTTCCCCATCACTACCCTTTTAACTCCTACATTTTAATAGCATTTATTATTTCCTGATACTATATTATATACCTATTTGTTAGCTAACTATCTGTCTACCCTTCTTAATATAAGCTTTTCAAAAGCAGTTTTCACCTTTTGTATTGGTACTGTATTCCCAGCGCCTAGAATAGTACCTAAAACATAACATTCAATGAACACTTTAAATAGAACTCAGACTAGGTGGCTATAATAATAAAAGCAATCAATTTTTAACATATGACATACCATCATATTCTTTTTGAATAAACTTTTCCAAGCCAATTAAAATTTGCTCCCTGTTGTGTTGTTCAGAAAAGGGTGGTGATAACTCATCTAAGTTAAAAAAAAGAAAAAGGAAAAAGGAAAAAGAAAAGTAAGGAAAATGGAATCTGAAAAGGTCTTCAATTTTTTACTCTAAACTCTTTACTTAAAATTTCATTATTTATTAACTTCTCTGACTTTAAAATCATAAATGTTACTGGGGAAGGAAGGGGCAGGGGACAGCAGAAAAATAATTTTTATAGGTTTATGTATGTTTCACACACGATCATTTTCCCTATGAAATACCTACAAAATATATTTACCTCTATAAATTCTTTAATATTGTTTTCTTCAGACGTTCTGCTCTCTTCCCATATGCTTGTTTTTCCTTCCTGTAAGTCTATACTCAATATTGTTATGTAAAGCACCTGACCCATTCAAACCCCAGTTTCCTCAAATGCCTGGTCAAGATTCGTATCTTCCCTATAAGATGCTTCCATCCACAGCCTTCAATGACTTAAGTGAATTTTCTTATTCCCTAAAGCACTTGCCAGTTTATAGTAGCCATTCAATTTTCTAGTTATTTCATTTATATTCATATTATTTTTCCAAATAAGACAACATAGTCTTAAGAATAGTCTTTTTTTTTTTAATCTCCTCCTCCAGACTCACCCCCAAGAGTTAATACAGTAATGGGAACAAAGCAGTAATTTACAGTAATGAATTAAACTAATATTCAGCTTTTGAAAAACAAATGTAGCATCTGGGATTGCAAGTTGAATACAGGTATACTTCATACCTCATTTTACTGCACTTCACTTTCTTGCCCCAGATACTGTGTTTTTTTTTTTTTCACAAATTGAATTTCTGTGGCAACCCTGCACTGAGCAAGTTATCAAGCACCTTTTCTCCAACCAGCATTTGCTTACCTTATGTCTGTGTCACATTTTGGTAATTCTCATATTTCAAACTTTTCACTATTACTGTACTTGTTATGGTGATCTGTGGGATCAGTGACCTTTGATGTTACTACTATAACTGTTCTGGGGTGTCACAACTGTACCCAAATAAGACAGCAAACTTAACCGATAAATGTTGTATGTGTTCTGAATGCTCCACTGACTGGCCATTCTTCCCATCTCTCTCCCTCTCCTCAGACCTCTCTGTTCTGAGACACAACACTATCAAAATTAGGCCAACTAATAACCTTACAATGGCCTCTAACTATTCAAGTGGAAAAAATATATATCATGTCTCTCACTTTATATCCAAAGCTAGAAATGATTAAGCTTAGGGAGGAAAGCATGTCAAAAGTCAAGACAGGCTGAAAGCTAGGCCTCTTTCACCAAACAGCCTAGTAGTGAAGGCAAAAGAAAAGTTCTTAAAGGAAATTAAAAACGATACTCCAGTGAATACCAGCATGAGAGGCACCTGGATGGCTCAGTCAAACATCTACCTTAGGCTCAGGTCACTATCTCAAGGTCCTGGGATCAAGCCCCTCATTGAGATCCCTTCTCAGGGGAGCCTGCTTCTCCCTCTCCCTCTGCAACTTCCCCTGCTTGTGTTTTCTCTTTCTCTCTCTCTCTCAAATAAATAAATAAGAAAAAAAAAATATGAACATGAAATAGCCTAACTGCTTATATGGAGAAAGTGTCAGTGGTCTAAATAGAAGATCAAACCAGCCACAATACTCGCTTAAGCCAAAGTCTAATTCAGAGCAGGGCCCTAACTTTCTTCAATTCTATGAAGGCTGAAAGAGGTGAGGAAACTACAAAAGAAAAAGTCTGCAGGTAGCAGAAATGGGCTCATAAGGTTTAAGAAAAGAAGCCACTTGCATAACATAAAAGTGCAATGTGAAGCAGCAAGTGACAGAGTAGATCTAGCTGAGATATTAATGAAGATGGCCACACTAAACAACATATCTTCAATGTAGACAAAACAGCCTTACACTGGAAGATACCATCTAGGACTTCTATAGCTAGACAGGAAGAATCAATGCCTGTCTTCAAAGCTTCAAATGGCAAGCTGACACCCTCTTGTTAAGGGTTAATGTACCTGAAATCTTTAAGCCAAAGCCAATGCTCATTTACCAAACCGAAAATCCTAGAACCGCTAGGAATTATACTTAATCTACTATGCCTGTGTTTTATAAATGAACAAAGCCTGGATGACAGCACAACTGTCTGCAACATGGTTTACTGAATATTTCAAGTCCAATGCTGAAACCTATTGCAGAAAAAAAGATTCAACGTTACTGTTCATTGACATTGCACCTGGGCACTCAAGAGCTCTGGCAGAGATCTACATTAAGATTAGGGTTGTTTTCATGCCTGCTAACCCAACATCTATTTATTCCACAGTTCATAGATCAAGGAGTCATTTCAACTTTCATGTCCTATTAAGAAATCCATTTGTGAGATTATAGCTATCTCTTATGTATCTGTGTAAAGTAAACAGAAAATCTTTTGGAAGAGGAGTCACCATTCTAGATACCATTAAGAACATCTGTGATTCATGGGAAGAAGTCAAAATAGCAACACAAACAGGGGGAGTTTAGAAGTTGATTCCAACCCTCATGGATGACTTCGAGGGGTTCGAGACTTCAGCAGAGGAAGTAACTACAGATGTGGTGCAGAGCCGGAGAATCAGAATAAGAAATGGAGCCTGTAGATGTGACTGAATTATTGCAATCTCATTAGATGACTTGAATGGATGAGGAGCTGTTTTTAATGGATGAGCAAAGAAAGTGGTTTCTTGAGATAGACTCTATTCCTGAAGATACCGTGAAGATTATTGAAATGACAACAAAGGATTTAGACTATTACATCAACTTAGTTGATAAAGTTGATAAGCAGAGTTGGTAAAACTGACCCCAATTTTGAAAGAACTTCTGTGAACAAAATAGCTACCTAACAGCATCACGTGCTACAGAAACCATTCATGACAGAAGAGTCAATGCGGCAAACTTGTTATCTTATTTAAAGAAACTGCCACAGCCACCCTGGTCAGTCAGCAGTCACCAATACTGAGGCAAGACCCTCTACAAGCAAAAAGATTACAATTCACTAAAAGCTCAGATGATGGTTAATATTTTTTAGCAATAAGGTATTTTTTAATTAAAGTAATTGTTTTTCTTTAGATATAATGCTATTGCACACTTACCAGATGTCAGTATAATGTAAACATAACTTTTACCTGCACTGGGAAATGAAAAAGTTCACTTGACTCACTTTATTGCAACACTCATTTTATTGCGATGGTCTGGAACCTAACCCACAATATCTCTGAGGTACACCTATAGCTGAATTACAGGTGATTTTTTTTTATTATTATTTAAGTGGTGAAAGTATTCTGTATGATACTATAATGGTAGTAAGTAACACAACGCACTTGTCAAAATTTACAAAACTGTGCACCACAAAGTCAACTTTACAGTATGCAAATTAAAAAAATCATCTAGGAGGTTGGGGAATCTCGGGATGGAATGCAGGCTGTACCAAAATAATCTACATGTGTAAGACAACTTCACTCAAGGGAGTGAGGGAAAAGGTACTAACCTAAGTAACTTTTTGAAAATGAGTGGAGTTTGTAAGACTAAAGGCAAAAGGAATACACATAAGTACTGTACTCTGATAAAGTTATTTCCCATACAGGTATTAGATAACAATTCTGATAATGTTATACAACTGTATTTAAGTGGGACAATTAAATAAAAAAGGAGATGATGACAGCCACGTTTCTCATTGTTGGGAGTGGGAAATTTAAAGCAGAAGAGTCTTGAATGAGCCATATGGTAATGTATTCAAGTTGGAGCCATCAGCACAAAGTCATGTTTAACTTAATGTAAGATGGTCACATAACAGAAATTTTTATAGATACAAACATATACTAAGTATATACATATAATTTTCTCACTCACAGAGAGCCTAAAAGCAACAACGCCCAATAATAGCAAGCACCCTAGCTTCCGGATCATGGTTTCTAATTCCATTCTCTAATAAAAGGAACCAGGGCTCTTTGGAGATATATCTAATTCTAGGACTGGGGTGGAAAATATACATGATGAGCCTGGAGCATCTTGTAGTGCCAGAAAGTAAGGAAGTGTTTAAAAAAAAAACAAACAAACAAACAAATAAACAACCAAAAAAAAAAAAAAACCCCACACACTGATGGGGGTATATTAAAGAGTCCCGGGTACCAAATGAAAGAGTTCCTGATAGCCAAATGTGGAACAATACGAACAACATTGTAGTATTAGATCATAACCCAAAGTATAAAATATCCATGAATTCATAAGGAGATATAAAAATGAATGAATGAATACAAATAAATGTAATGTATTATATCTTAATAAAGCTGCTGGGAGAAAAAAATGTGCCACAATTCAGCTATTCAACTCCCAAGTATTACCCCAGGAAACTTAAAGGATGTATCTGTTACCCAGACCCACACAAATGTACAGAGCAAATTTATTTGTAACAACCAAAATTTAGAAACAAATCAGCAGGTGAATGGTAAACAAATTATGGCACATCCATATAACGAAACACAGCTCAGCAATAAAAATGAATGAAACATTTACACACATCACAACATGGATGAATCTCAAAATAATTACGCTAAACAAAAGCAGCCAGGATCCCACCTCAGAAAAGAGTATATTCTATGTGATTCTATTCATATAGAACTTTAGAAAATACAAACTAATTTATAGTAACTAAAAATGGGTAAGTGGTTGCCTGGCAAGAGGCTGGGAAAGCAAAAGGTAGGGGGAAGATATTATGATGGGGAACTAAATATTATGACATCAGAAGATTTATCTTATCTGAGACACAGCAAGTAATTAAAAAAAAAAAAAGTTTGCTGAGTGAAGGTTTATCCCAGGTAACCATGAATGTTTGTTGAATAAAGGTATGTAAGGCTCTTCCCAAAATATTAGAGCCTTATCTCCCTCTATTACCTTTCTTTTATTCTACCAAATCCAAGGCAATTCTTCTCCCAAAGAAATTATACATCCTATAATTTTGTGCATAATCTCCTAAATCTAAAAAAAGATCCACTCCAGTTAAAATTAATTGAGTTTGTACTGCATTTTGTTTACCACTACTACAGCATATAATATATTCTGCTTCCAATTATGGCAATTTTCATAGTATTATATATCCGTCTAGAGCAGAACTGTGCAAGAGCATTGCAATGATGGAAATGTTCTTCTAGACTGTCTAATTCGGCAGCCATATTTAACTACTAGCCACATGTAACTACTCAGTACTTGAGATATGGCTAGTAAAAACGAGGAAATTAGTTTTTCTTTTAATTAAATTTAAATAATGGCCACCATATTAGACAGCACAGATCCAGAGTCTAAGCTCTTTAAAAGCAACACATAATATGGACTCTGTATTCCCATAGGCATGTACCACAGTGCTGTGCATTTAGTCAGTGTCTGTTGTTGGGTCTCTAAATTATCAAGAAAAAAAAACAAAACAAAACAAAAAAAACCTCTACCAAAACATGTAAGCAAACTGTATTTAAATAAGAAAATAAATATTTAAAACCAAGGAAAGAATCTACTCAGAATAGCTCTAGTAGTAAGACTTACCAAAACATCTTTTACATACTAAATCAAGTATTTCCCGAAATCGATTTGTCATTGGTGGTAGAGGTTTTAGATCAATTTTCCTGAAATCCTCTGGACAATCATTTTTTGAATGGCCATCTTTTTTGCAGATGCTGCATACTATCGTTGGTGGCTATACAAAGGTAAAAAAATAATCTAATAATCTAATAAACTATTGAAGAACTTCATCATCACTTAGAAAGCAGGTCCAAAAAGACTCTTTTATGTAACTCAATTCTGATAACCTGTACTTCCAGGAGGTTTAAAAAAAAACAAGAGAGTATTAATTAAATGCAGTGTTAAATGTAAAAACCATATTTTAAGTCAACCACTTTAACTCTTCTTCCCTACTAAAATGATATTATCAAGATCAGATTTACCCAGAGATGTACGATACAGAAAATACTAGAAGATGCAATAGTATGGGTTAATGCAAACATTTCTGTCAGCTCCCAAGATGAATATTTGCATTAATTTAACCCTCTGAGATCTTTAACGTAACAAAGTAGATTATAAAGAAATTTCAAGTGGCACATTTCATTGCACTCCAAACAATATCTATCTTCGTGGTCAATCAACTATAAAACCCTCACCTGGCTAGTTGGTTCAATTTATTACATTAGGATGATACTCAAGAAACCAAACTGTAGGGATGAACTCAAAAAATTACTTCATACAAGGAATAACTCTTATGCGAGAGCCATAAAGTTAATTGCAAACCACCATTTAAAATGTATTCCAGGACTACCAGCCAGGTAGTTAAAACAGTAATGCATCCCAACTAGCTGAGCAAAACCTATGGTGAAGGAAGAGCATTATTCTTATCTTTATTGTAAAATGCCTAAATCCCAGAGAGCCTCATCCTCCAGGATTACCGTGAACATTTAACCTAGCCATGAACTCTGATGCAAATTATATACAGAAACCTCTACTTGTTGGAATGCTGTGCTATGAGCTAATTAACAATACCAAAGGAATTTTATTAGCTTTTCAAAACTTTTTTAAATGACATATTTAAATTCTAGAAAAGGAACTTCCAGAGGGAAAAAGTATAGAGAACAAAATTGTAAACTGCAGTTATATAATTGAGGCTTTTCTAAAAACCCGCCATTTAATTCATTCAATTCATTCTTTCAACAATCCATACGTCCTAAATACTGCAACCTAAAAAAAAATGCAATAGATATATCCTTACAAAGAATGAAGAAACACAGCTTAGTAATTAGAAAAATTTTAAAGCTTGTCAATAACTAGTTATTGATAAAAACAATAAAACTGGATAACTTTCTAGGTTTTCAAAAAAATATTCTACTTGGTTTACACATGATCTATATAATCTTTCATCTTGGGTGCTGATATATCAATTATGTATACTGTATTTGAAGCTATGTGACTTAGTTATAACTTTCTTTCATTAACAAAGTAGTTGCTGCTTCTTTTCTGTTACTGAGGTATTTTGATTTCCATAATTTATTAAGTTAAAGTTCAGACTATAGCACTTTAAAAGTAGAAAAGTTAAGACTTCGTTAATTTATAAAGGATATGCCAACACCCAAAGAAAAGCTCAATGGCAGAGACAGAATCTGGACTCTTCATATTTTTGGTTCCTGATCTTAGTTTCTGCTCATCTATCTTTATTAAATTTATATTCACTCACCCCATGTCAAAAAAACAAAACTTTAAAGTAAAATACTATTAGAATTCACAAACCTTATATTCTTCTTTGTGGAAGAAAAAATAAACATAAATAAAATTTTAAAATATTTGCGGCCTCTGCCAAACTGATTTTCACAAAATATTTGATGAATCCTTTTATATGAGAAAGTGAAATAAACCAACTAGTAATAAAGAGTTTTGAAACCTTTTGGGGTATTATATACATTCCTTAAAGACAACTACAGAGAAAAATGTAAAAAGGAAAAGTGAAAATATACACCAAAATGTAACAGTCTACCATCACAGAGCTATTTTTACATTTCTGAATCTAAAAACTACAAATATAGTTGTTAAAAAAAAAACCCCACAAAATCTTACAAATTGTTTACAAACTGTATCCTACCTTGCCAGAGGTTAAAATAAACTTATCAAAAACATAATATAATTCCTGGGTGGGGTGGTTATCATCATCATTAAGGTCAGAAGCATCTTCTGTAGCTTTGCAGTTGCAAGAGGTAGCAGATGTGTCAGTGCTCACAATGAGATGTGAACTCTCTGTTTCTGTATTTGACCTGCAGTCTGTACCAACAGAGTCATCTGGGTGAGGGGATTTATAATCAATGCAATTACACTGGCTGAGCTCCTTTTTTAAACAAGTTTCTGAAGGTGCTAAATCATCTTGTTTCTTATTTGATTTTGGCTCTAATTCACTGCCTTCACTGGTAGAAAGACAGGAAAATTCCTGTCCAAGTTCAGCCAAATCTAGTTCATTTACCAACAAACTGTTATCTTCAGTAATACATCTCTGCGATGTACATTCCATTTCATCATATTTATCAGGTTGACCTCTTTCTGCATTTATTTTTTCTGTGCTTTCTCCAAGTAGAATGCAACAACTGGATGCCATATTGTCAGACTTCACTGGTTTCTTATTGCTTATTTTCACCTTCTCTTTCTTCATGGAATCCACTGTAGATTTATTTCCACCCTTCCTCTGAGGACAGGCAAAATACCGATAAGCTGCCCTGAATCTCTCCACAACATATTCATAAACAAGCTGGCTGTTTAAGCTCCGTGCAACATTCCTCTTGACTGAAAATGGATCTAGTGAGAAAGGAAATGGTCAGCTGCTAAGTATCTACTAACAAACTACAATTCCAAGCTTACTCAAACAGATATGAACTGCTATACTGTCAGCAGAGTACAATTTCCCAAACCTTTCCTAACCTAAAGTCTAAGTGGGAGTTCCTATAAAATGAGTATGGGAAATACAACAGCAAACATCTTTTTCCTTTGTTTCTATCATAAAATAAAAATGCTAAGGGGAAAAGAGAAAAGAATAATAACAAGGGTAATTAATGAGAGGTTGGCCAAGGACACCAACTCAGTAATTTAAAAATTTCAATGATAAAACTGGTAAAGGCATACTGTTATGCCTTCCTAGGCTGTCATTAGGTGAAATTTTTCAAGCCTCCAGGACCCATTCATAATTTTCATCTCGTCACAATATTCTTTAGCTACATTCTCTTTGCAATTTAAGCAAAAAATAATAATAACCTAAAATTCTCAAAGCTTAAAGTTAAAAAATGTGATTTTAACATTTAATTTCAGTGAAATCAGAAAATTAAAGGGAGAAATAAGGAAAAATAAAAAAGCAGGAAAAAAAGAGATCTAAGAAAGTAACATTTGGGGTGCCTGGGTGGCTCAGTGGGTTAAGCCTCTGCCTTCTGCTCAGATCATGATCTCAGGGTCCTGGGATCAAGCCCCGCACCATCGCATGTGGCTTTCTGCTCAGCAGGGAGTCTGCTTCCCCCTCTCTCTCTCCCTGCCTCTCTGCCTACTTGTGATTTCTCTGTTACATAAATAAATAAATCCTTTAAAAAAAAAAAATTAAACCAAAATTTAAATTTGGTCCAGTCTAAAATGGGTATGCTGAAAAGGTTTATATCAACTACATCCTCATTATTAAGAAAATATAAAACACCTTGAAAATGCTTAGCAGTTTTTGGATTTTATAAGCCTTAAATACAAAAATTTAATGTAATATATATAATAATATAATATAAATAAATACAAAAAACAAATGACACCCAAAGATACACATTTTCTCCACTACTGAAGATCACCAAGTAAAAGAATTAACAGGCAGGCTTCAGATTGTTAATGTTTGGGTATCTGTTATTTTTGCTGTTATCTAAGTCCACAGGCTATCACCTAAACCCAAATATTTTCGCTCTCCTTCTGGAAGAGGAAAAAGAAAAAGACGAGAAGACCAATTATGATAGCTACAAGCTTTAGAGCTCATTTATTTACTATATGTAAGTGTATAAGATTTAAGTACATTTTTGAGCGTGTAAGAGTATCTGTGGGTCTACAGAAAGCCAACAGAGGACAGGGAACAGAAGAATATATTGTCTAAACAGACTACAATGATGGACAGAAATTCAGTTCCCAATCTGTAAAAAGTGAAATGCTGCATGATATAAGTTTTCTAGAAACCGTTTTATTACTTTGCACTCTAAAATCTTAATATTCTTGGGATTTCATGTGAAACTTTTTTGTCAACAATTTTTTTTTCCCAAATCAATCTTTCTTCTCTTTGGCTTAGCCATATTTAACAACTGAGGCACTTTTTTTTTTAAATGTTTTTGAAGTATAGCTGACAATGTTACATTATAGTTTCAGTTGCACAACATAGTGATACAACAACTCTATAGTTAAGCTGTGCTCACCCCAAGTGTAGCTATCATCTGTCACCATACAACTCTAACATCAGTGATTATGTTCTCAATATACACTCCAGTGACTTACACATTCCATAGAGATGAGGTACTTTAGAAGACAATGGAAAAACCAGATTTTCAAATTACATTTTAACATAATTTTATGACAGAAACTTACAGGAATATTCTAAGACTATTTTTAGTAACTTCTCTATTCTCCTATATTTTTGAAATTTTTCAAAAGAATTAAGAAATATAAATAAAGGCATGTAATAAGCTAATAACCCAAACAATATATTTATAGTTTTGAAACCTTAAAATTATTATTAATCTTATAAAACTATCATGACTTGATAAAGAATTTACTTGGCATATATAAGGACAACCTAGTGGCATATACAGTGCTACAAAGCCAGAGATTGAATTTATAACACTGTATTAGAAACAAATGATGAGTGGCACAAAAACATACTCTCCAAATGAAATATATCATCTCACCTTCAATAGCTATTCGCCTTTTAGGCCAGTTTTTGTTTTCTCTTGTTAAAATATCTTGTATCCGTACACATATGACATATTCTTCCAAGGCAAAATCCAGTGTGTAAAATTTTAGCAGCTCTAACCACAACTGCCCCAAGGATACCTGATTTGGTGTTCCCAATGTTAAAGGAGACTGGAAAAGAAAAAATACTTTTCCATTTAGGTTTCACAGAACTAGAGAATCACTGAATTTTCATTTTAAAAGATCTCAGACATTACTTTTCCAAAAACTGAGGCATAAAGAAATAACTTACACAGCTGGGAACACAGTCCTAGTTCACTGACTCCAAGAATTTTATGTTTTTTTCCATTAAACCAGTGATTCTCAACCTTGGCTATATCAGATCACATTGGGAACATTAAAAACACTAGTACCTAAGCTCCATAACATTCCTACCTCCCATACCCTTCCCAAGATTTTGATTTAAGTGACCTGGGCAATGGACTGGGCAATGGGATCTTTAAAGCCCCCTAAGTGATTCTCCTGTGCAGCCAAGGTTGCAAACCACTGCATAACAATTACTGCAGCTCCTAGTTCTGGTAATTACTTTAAAAATCTAAGTAAGTGCCCTGGGCTTTCAAAAGCCAATTCCTTCATTCAGCAAACATTTATTTAGAACCTACTATGTCCCTGGCACTGTACTGGGGATATAAAAAAAATAATGAGCGTTCACACTTAAACATAATGGTCACTCTGCATCATTCACTCTTTTTAAGTGTTGCACATACAGTTACTATTGCTTCTAACAACTCTATAAGGTAGATAATACAGGGCAAGGATTTGACTCAGGACCACCTGGCTACTGAATTCATGTTGCTACCTACCATACTGCCACTCATATAAGGAGAGATCCTACTTCACAGAGTATTAGGAAAGGAAGAGACAATTTAACAATTACAGTACTGTGTGCTAACATGGGCCTCTAAATTAGGGGGGTTTTAACAAAAGAGATAATATCTGAATTCTAAAGGAATTAGCTAAAAATGACCACTAAAGAACATAAACAGTCATCCACTCATTCAATTCTACGACTATTCATCCAGTGCCTACTATGTGCCAGGCACTTGGGCTATATCTGTGAAAAAAAAACCTCGAGATCCTTGCCTTACTGGATTTTCCCTTCCAGGGGAAGAAGATAGCAAAAAACAAGTAAATTACATAGCAAGTCAGAAAAAGCAAAGTGCTGTGGAAATGAAAAGAAGTTGAGTAGGTTTAGTAAAAAACGAATCGGAAGTATGGGAATATGACATGGTTTCAGTGTTAAACAGCATGGTCAGGACAGGATTTTGTTAAAAAGGTATGATTTGAAGAAGAGGGAAAAGCATTCTAGGAATAGGGAATAGATAGAGCAAACACACTAACTAGACGTGTTACTAGCTTTAAAAATAAAACCATGAAAGCTAGAGTAGCAGAGAAAGGGGAAAAAGAGAAGAGAAAACAAAGGACTAGTCAGTAAGGACTCCTCAGTTTGTATTCTAAATTAAATGAGGAGCAATTGAAGCATTTTGAGTGTGGAGAGAAGGAAGGACATGATATGACTTAAGTTTCCGAAAAACCATTTTGATTGTTGTGCTGAGAACAGACTATAGTTGGCTCCTGAACAACATATGAGTTAGGGGCACACAGACCCTTATGAGGTCAAAATCTGCATATTAACTTTTGACTCCCTCAAAACTTAACCACTGATATATGCTGTTAGCCAAAAGGCTTACTGATAATGTAGTCAACGAATACATATTTTATATGTTATATTTATCATGTACTGTATTCTCAGAGTAAGCTAGAGAAAATGTTAGAAAATTATAAGAGAAAAATACATTTATAGTACTAGACTATATTTTAAAAAAATCCACGTAAGTAGATATGCACAGTTTAAATCCATGTTATTCGAGGGTCAACTGTATAAAGAACAATGGTAGATACAGGGAAACTCATTATGAGACTACAGTAGTAATCCAAGTCAAAGATGATGGTGGCTAGGACAAGCATGTTAACAGTGCAGGTGGTGAGAAGTGGTCAAATTCTAAATATATTTTGAAATAAAAATAACAGGATTTCCTGACAAACTTGATACAGGGTATAAAAGAGAGAAGTAAAAGATGACTCCGAGGCTTCTGACTGACCATTTGAAAGGACAAAGTGCCATCAATTTAGATGTGAACACTGCTTGTGGAGAAAGAGGAAGACCAGTAGTCCAGTTTTCGGCATGTTAAGTTTAAGACATCTATTAAGACATCTAAGTAGAGACATTAAAAAGGCAGTTGCATACAACTATAGAATTCAGGAGTGTGGTTTGGCTGAAGACTTAAATTAGAGAGTATTATACAGATAGTATGTAAGACCCATGCAACTGGGTAAGATCACCAAGGGAGTGCAGATGCAGAAGAAAGGCGAAGGGATCAGGGACTGAGCCCTGGAGCATGCCAACATTAAGAGATTCAAGTGGAAAGGAGAAACCAGTGACAAAGACTGAGAAAAAATAATCAGCCATGGGTGTGCTATCCTGAAAGTCAAGTTAAGAAATTTTTCAGAGTAATCCACTGGTAAATATTGCTGATACATCAAAAATATAAAAATTGAGAAGCAACAATTGGATTTAGCAACATGGAAGATAAAGGATATTGACAATACAAATTTTGGTAGGTTGATGAGGGTCAAAGCCTGATTACAGTGACTTAAGAGGAAACCGATATTGGAAATAATGAATATCAACAATTCTTTCAAGAAGTTTTACAGGTAAAGGGTACAAAGGAATCGCTGGGAAGGGAAATGATATCCATATTTTTATTCAAAATGGGAGAAATAAAAGCATGTTTGCTTATAGATGAAAAATTGCTAACTTAAGGAAGGAAAGAGAAGAAGTGCTAGAGCAGCGTTCTAGAATAAATAAGAATGGATGGGATTAAATACCCAAGTGGAGAAAATTAGATAGCAACTTGGGAAGTTCCTTTATGAAAGTAGGCATCAAGGCAGACTATGTGAGATAGCAGCAGGTGGTGGTGGGAGTATGGAGAAGTTCTCTTGATTTCTTCAGTTTTATCAGTGAAGTAAAAGCAAAATCATTAGCTGAGTATTGGTGGTTTGAGATGAGAGGAAAAAGAAGTCTAGGGAAGTGGGAGAGTTGAAGGGACTAAGAATGACTGTTCAGGGAACTACATATAATTCAGTATAGCTAGAGCAACCATTTCAGTAATGCTTTTATTTCTGTAATAATATGTCTACTTCAGAAGACTACATACTTCTGGAGGACACAATCCTTGGATATTCATCTTTGGTTCCCTAGCCCTCAAGATAATGTCTGGCACATAGCAGGTCCTTAATAAATGAATGTTGAAGATTAAATAAGCAAGCCACCCCCAACAGAGGAGGAAAGGGCCTTTATTTTTCCACCAATCTGGTAACATAATTCCCATATGCTAAAGTTGTGATCACAGCCCAACTCCTGAAGGAAATTTTCCTTGTCTAAATAAAAAAGATACAAAGAATTACCATATGCTAAAATTCAAACAATATACATCTTCCAAAATGAGGTACAAATTCATTAGGGAATCTCAGTACTGAAAAACTAAACCAGATCAACCCCTCACTTTACAGATGAGGAAAATGAGGCCAAGAGGCTTATGCAGTCAGTCAATCTACTATTAAAGAGCAGCTTCAATAGAAGGCATCACAAATTCTACAGATAGAAAAGCCAAAAACAAAAACAAAAAAAGCTTACTTTGCCATGTTTTTCCTTCATGGCATTACTTTGGTTGTCTGTGTCTGTCTTCTTGGTATCATCTTTTGGTTGGTCTGCCTTAGCTTTGTTTTCCTCAGCAATTGAGTTTTTCTCAGTTGCACTACTTGAATTACATTCCCACTTCACAAACTTCTCTTCTACTATGCCCTTCAGCTGAAAGTCATCCATTCTTTTTGGGTCAAAGCCTTCAATCTATATAAAAAGGCATTCCAAATTGGTAGTGGAAAAATTATTTAAAAAAACAAAACAAAAAGATGGACAAACAAACAAACCAGAATTCCGCTTAAAATGTTTGAACAGAGTACTCTGTCAGAGCAAACTACACATATATACAAGCACATATACATCACAAATTCATGCTTACCCAAGTTCCAAGTAAGCAAGGAAGAAGAGGGGGTTTTCTTTGTTGTAGAAAAAACATCACCATTAAAGCAAAACAGTAGGAAGGGATTCCACCATCAGTTTGGGAGTCAATATAGCATAACTGCAAAACAGAAGGGGAGAAAATACTGCCATTAGCTTTAATTTTCTTTGTTCCCCTCATAATTTTGTTTTCACTATGATCACTCACCACCCTGAAATAACTGTTAACACATTGGTGACAATCTTTCCATTCATTTCTTTATTGCATATAAAGTCACATATATATTTTAATGGAATTAAAATGGAATGGAGTTAAATGGAATATCATACATAGTGCTTTTACTGTGTACACATTTTTAAAAATATTTTACCTTGCCTTCTACTTCTGCTTCAATGTTAACGATCATCTATGAACTCTTACATCCCTTTTTCTATACTCTAATAACCATATACAAATACATTCCTATATATTTCTATTTTCTATATAAATGCAGGAAGGATTTTGTTTTATGTCATTCTCTTACCAAAATTATGTATTATACACATCTGTGTATAATATTCTTCTATTATTATTCTTCTCCCTTAACAATGTACCAACAAAGTTCCTCTAAGTCAATTAGTACAGATATAACACATTTATTTATTTATTTTCCTAGCATTCTTTTAAATGCTTAAAATTATAGGTTATGATCTGTATGGCTACTTAATAATCTTCCCACCCAAGGACATTCACATTGTGTTCCCAATTTTTGCCACTTTAAGCAATGCTGTTTTATCCTTATATGCATTTCCTAATTATTGGTGCTTATTTATATGAGCTATTTTCCCAAGAATGTGTTTGCTGGATTTAAAAATGTGTGCTAGAGGGGTGCCTGGGTAGCACAGTCAGTTAAGCATCCATCTCTTAGTTCAGCTCAGTTTGTGGTCTCAGGGTCATGGAATCAAGACCTGTGTTGGTGTCTGTGCTTAGCACTGAGTCTGCTTGGGTTTCTCTCTCCCTCTTTGCCTCTCCCCACCCCTGAGCTCATTTGTACTCTCTCTCTAATAAATAAATCTTTAAAAATAAGTAAATAAATAAAAATGTGTGAAATACCTAATTTCTAATAACAGTTTTCCAAAATCACTACAAAAATTCCTCTTTTCACCAGTTAACATGAGTGGTACATGTAACACTTCCCAACACTAAGTATTACCACTTTTAAAAAAATGCCAAGGGTGGGGGCCTGGGTGGCTCAATTGGTTAATCTACTGTCTTCCTCTCAGGTCATGATTCCAGGGTCCTGGGATCTGCCCACACAGGCCTGCATCTGGCACCCTGCCAAGGAGGGAGCCTGCTTTTCCCTCTCCTTCTGCCACTCCCCCTGCCTGTGCTCTCCCGCTCTCCATCAAATAAATAAATAATAATCTTAAAAAAGAAAATGCCAATGTGATACAATTATCTAAAAATTACTTCAATTTGCATGTCCTCAATGTTAAGATATTACATAATTTTTATATGCTTACTAACCATTTAGATTTGCTCTTTTCTGAACCGCCTATTGAATCTTTTGCTAATTTTTTCTATTTGTACGCACTGCCTATCAATTTACATTACAGTTAATAGCCCTTTAAATCTGATACATGCACTTGGACAATGTTATTTTTCCCAATCTGCTTTTATTTTTAAGGAAGCTTTTATCATGTAAAATTATTTTAGGAATTAGTAAAATTATTTAAGGAAGCTTTTATCATGTAAAGTATATTAACGTGTGTGTATATATAGTTAAATAGGCTTTTGCAATATAGCTTCTAGGTTTCCTATCATGGTAAGAAAGTATCTCCAAACCATAGCATATATACATACTCTTAAATTTTCTCCAAAAATTTTGATTTTTCATTTAAGTAGAATTTATTTTTGCACTTTGTGTCCTAAGGATTCAACAGTATTTTCTTCAAGAAATACACAGTTGTTCACTGAAACTAATAATACACTATATACTAATTAACTGAATTTAAATAAAACAAAATTAAATTTAAAAATAGTTAAAAATAAATTAAATTAAAAAATACAGTTGTGACAGCACCATTTACCAAATAAACCATTGTTTTATTACTGAAATGAAATATTTTATTTTCTCATACATTAAAATTTCATTTACACTAGGATCTACTTCTGGACTTCTGTTTCACAAATCTATTTGTCTATTCCTATGCCAAAGGCACATCCTTGAATAAGCAGTTTCACAGTCGTAAAGTAGATCCCCTTCACTAATGTTCTCTTTCTGAATTCTTCTGGGTACCCTCAAACATTCTTCCATACTAATTTTAAGACAATTTTATCAAATTTTTTTAAATTCTGGGTATTTCTAATTGAAATTACCATACATTTGAAAATTAAGATGACTTTACATTTTAAGGGTACCATCTCCTTATCTAAGAACTTTGTATCTTTGCAGTTTCCAAAAATTCAGGAGTTTCATTAATTACTAACTTCCCCTAAACTCTCATAACCAATACTTCTACAAGTCTTACCTCCAAAACTTATCCCAAATCTGTCTACTATGCTTCACATCCATTCAAACCTAGCACAGACCATTATCACCTCTGGCTGATCTACTACAGCAGCCTGATTAATGAGTTCTCTCCTTGTACTCTTTATCCCAGAAAAATCTTTTCAAAGCATAAATCACATCAACTCATACACAACTTTTAGAACTGCTTTCTCACTGCAATTAAAATCCAAATTCCTGGGATGCCTGGGTGGCTCAGTCAGTTTAGCATCTGCCTTCAGCTCAGGTCCTGATTCCAGGGTCCTGGGATCAAGTCCCACATTGAGCTCCCTGCTCAGCAGGGAGTCTGCTTCTCCCTCAGCTACTCCCTCCTCCCCGCCCCCCATGCCTGCTCAGGCACACACCTTTTCTCTCTCTCTCTCTCTGACAAATAAAATCTTAAAAAAAAAAAAAAATCCAAATTCCTTACCAATGAAACATTCACTCTCACTTCATTCCAGCCACTCCTGTCTTTCTTTCTGGTCTTACAAGCTCATTCGTACCTCAGAAGCTTTTTACTAGCTATCCGGGATGCTATTCCCTGAGACTTTCCCCCTGAGACTTTCAAGTGGCTGGTTCCTGCTGGTCTGAGTTTACATATCACTTCCTCAAAAAGACCTTCCCTAACCATCTGGTATAATGCTACTCTCTTATCACATCATCTCATTTTTACAGCACTAAAATCTATCAGATACTGTGTTACTTATATATTTATTTACTGGCTGATTCTTCCACAAGTATGTAAGCTTCATGACAGCAGGACTTTATATATCTTTAGATATTTCAAGCACCTAGAATAGTGTCTGGCACACAGGAAGTATTCAACAAATGTTTGCTGAATAAATGAATTTGTTCAGATTTCATTTTTACATTTCAATAATACAATTTTCTTCCTGTACCATTTTTTATTAAATTTATTCCTTAATATTTTACAATTTGTGTCACTATCGCTAAGGAATATTTTTCCATTTCCACTCCACCAGGTTATACCCATGACAGAAAAAAAGCTACTGATTATTGTATGTTTATATTGTAATTTGTCATCTTACAAATTCTTTCTTTTTAATTCTCTTATAAATCCCAACAGTTTTCTTACTAAAGTTGTATAGGTATACAATCATATCTTTAAAAAATTTTTGTTTCTCCAATATTTACATTATTTCATTTTCTTATTGCATGTTTAAAGCTCCCAAAACAATTACAACATTACTAGCGAACATCTCTATAATACTCCTAATTCTAACACCTACTGCTTGAGTAATTCACTGTTTAGAATGTTTGTTATTTTTTTAGTAAACAGTCTTCATCAATTTCCTTTACTAGTTTACTTAGAGGGGTTTTTTTATGAAAAACATGCCTTTTCAGCATCCATGTTTTTTCTGCTTCAAACTGTTAATATAATAAATTGTATTAACAGATTTCCTGATATTAAGCCATTATTATACTCCTGAAATAAACCCTGTATAGTCATGGCATACAACCTTTTGATACACTAATATACTGTATTTGTTATATTTCATTTAGACTTTTGCATCTACAACTTTTGCATCTAAGACTAGTCTATACTAGATTTTTTAAAAATTTGTTTTCATTTTTTATTTAGGTAATAAAGATAATAATCACTAAAGTTTAATGGCTTGGTAAATTTAAGAATACAGGAGCTCCTGGTTGGCTCAGTTGACAGAGTAAGACTTATACTTGGGGTCATGAGTTCAAGCCCCATGTTGGGCATAGAGCTTACTTGAAAAAAAAAAAAAAAAAGAATACAATTTAAAATGAAAGGATAAAAAACGTTTATAAAAAGAGCCTCAGGGGACGCCTGGGTGGCTCAGTTGGTTAAGCAGCTGCCTTCGGCTCAGGTCATGATCCCAGCGTCCTGGGATCGAGTCCCACGTCGGGCTCCTTGCTCTGCAGGGAGCCTGCTTCTCCCTCTGCCTCTGCCTGCCATTCTGTCTGCCTGTGCTCGCTCTCTCTCTCTCTCTCATAAATAAATAAAATCTTTAAAAAAAATAAAATAAATAAATAAATAAATAAATAAATAAATAAAAAGAGCCTCAGGAGCACCTGGGTGGCTCAGTGGATTAAGCCTCTGACTTTGGCATGGGTCACTATCCCAGGACCCTGAGATCAATCCCTGCTTCAGGCTCTCTGCTCAGCGGGCAGTCTGCTTCCAGCTCGCTCTCTGCCTACTTGTGATCTCTGTCAAATAAATAAATAAAGTCTTTAAAAAAAAAAAAAAAAAAAGGAGCCTCAATCTTTCCACTAGAATAAATTCCCATTTATCCAGAGTCCTAGGACAGGAGGTATGCTGCCTAATGACTAAATCAAGTTAATTAAAAACATTTTGGTAACTGTAAGGAACTGTTCATGTATGCTGTTAACACTACTGAACATCTCAGAGTAACAACATTTAGGAAGTTTACAAGAGAGTTTTTAAAACACAGGGAGCATCTCCTAGCCAAGCCGTGGAATCAACCTAAATGTCTATCAACAGAGATAAAGAAAACTTGGTACACACCTACAATGGTATCTCATTCAGCCTTAAAAAAGAGAATTCTCCTATTTGCAGAAACATGGGTGGACCAAGAGGACA